TGTCCATGTCTTCTTGGTGTCACATCCTCGTGTCTTGGTCCTGAGGATGCTGTGGATGTGTCTTCTCTTTCCTGAGGTAACATGACATTGTGTACTGGTGCACAGGATGTCATGGGAGTATGTCCTGTTCCTTAGGGTGTCATGGCAGCATGTAGTTGTTCTGAAGTTGCACGTGACAGTGTATTCAGGTTCTCTTGGTGTCATATACTTGTGTTTTGGTCCTGAGGATGCCATGAATGTGTGTCCTTTTCCAGAGGGTATCATGGCATTGTGTCCTGGCGCAAAGGATGTAATGGCAGCATGTCCTGGTCCTAACGTTCCCGTGAGAGATTATCCAGGTCCTCATGGTGTCACCTACTTCTGTCCTGGTCCTGGGGATATAATGTCTCTCTGTCCAGGCCCTGAGGATGCTGTGTCATTGTGTCATGGTCTTGAGGGGTTAATGTAACGTAATCTGTTCCTGAAGGTGCCATGGAAGTTTGTCACTGTCCTGAGATGGCCATGGTAGAATGTCATGGTCCTGAAGTTGCCATGGTATTTATCCTGCTCCTGAGGGTGCCATGGCAGTGTATCCTCATCTTCAGGGTGCCGCATCTGTGTATCCTGGTCCTCAGCGTGTCACATCTGTGTCCCCTGGTCATGACTGTGAAATTGTCATGGCATTGCATCCTTCTGAAGGTGCCAGAGCAATGTATTTTGCTCCTCAAGGTGTCATTTTCATGAGTCATTACCCTGAGGTTTTCATGGCATTGTGTCCTCCTCCTGAGGATGTCATGGCACTGTGTCCTAGTCCTGAGAGTGTTGTGGCATTGTTTCCTTTTCATATGGATATTGATGCTGTGTGTCCTTGTTCTGAGAACACCATGACAGCATGTCCAGCTCCTGAGGGCTTCAAGGCATTGTGTTCTGCTCCTGAGGATGACTTGATACAGTGTTCCAGTCCTGAGGGTGTCATAGCTGTGTATCTTGGGCCTCAGGGTACTGTGGCTGTGTGTCCAGGTCCTGAGGAGGCCATGGCACATACAGGACAACCAAAAGACCAGGTCCAGTCAGCATGGGTTTATGAAAGTCAAGTCCTGCTTGACTAACCTGATCCCCTTCTATGACAAGGTGACCACTCAGCAGATGAGGGAAAGGCTGTGGATGTTGCCTACATGTACTTCAGTAAAGCTTTTGACACTTGTTGCCCACAGTATCCTCCTGGAGAAACTGGCTGCTCATGGCTTGGATGGGTGTACTCTTCTCTGGGTAAAAAACTGGCTGGATGGCTGGACCAGCAAGGGCTGGACCCTTTTCACTCAGGAGTTGTGGTGAAAGGAGTTAAACCCAGTTGGTGACTAGTCATAAGTGGTGTTCCTCAGGGCTCAGTGTCGGGGGCGGTTCTGCTTAGTGTCTTCATCAATGGTCTGGACAAGGGGATCGAGTGCACCCTCAGTAAGTTTCCCAATGACACCAAGTTGGCTGGGGGTGTTGATCAACTGAAGGATGGGAAGGCTCTGCAGAGGGATCTGGACAGGCTGATTGATGGGCTGTGGCCAGTGGTGTGAGGTTCAACAAGGCTCATTGCTGGGTCCTGTGTTTGGGCCACAACAACCCCATGGAACACTACACGCTTGGGAAAGAGTGGCTGGAAAGCTGCTCGGCAGAAAAGAACCTCAGGATGCTCCCTGGCAGCTACTGAACATGAGCAGCTTGTGCCCAGGCAGCCAAGAAGGCCAACAGCATCCTGGCCTGTATCAGCAAGAGTGTGGCAGCAGGGCCAGGGCAGTGATTGTCCCCCTGTACTCAGCACTCGTGAGGCCGCACCTCAAATTCTGTGTTCAGTTCTGGGCCCCTCACTACAAGAAAGACACTGAGGTGCTGGAGCAGGTCCAGAGAAGGGCAATGGAGCTGGGGAAGGGCCTGAAGCACAAGTGCAGTGGGGAGCACCTGAGGGAACAGTGGGTGTTTAGTCCGGAGAAGAGAAGGCTCAGGGGGACTCTTATCACTCTCCACAACTGCCTGAAAGGAGGTTGTAGTGAGGTGGGGGTCAGGCTCTTCTCCCAGGTAACAAATGATAGGACAAGAGGTAATACCCTCAAGTTGTGCTAGGGGAGGTTTAGATTGGATATGAGGGGAAATTTCTTCCCCAAAAGGGCTGTCAAGCACTGGAACAGGCTGCCCAGGGATGTGGTGGAAGCACCATCCCTGGAGGTATTTAAAAGATGTGTAGATGTAGTGCTGAAGGACATGATGTAGTGGTGGACTTGGCATTGCTGGGTCAATGATCTTAAAGCTCTTTTCCAATCTAAATGATTCTGTGATAATATGAGGCCATGACATTCTTTGCAGGTGTCATAGCAGTGTGTCTTCATCATGAGGGTGTCATGCAATTGTGTCCTTGTCCTGACAGTGTCATGTCCATGTGTCCTGGTCTTGAGGATATCATGGCAGCATGTCCTGATCCTGAGAATGCCATGTCACTGTGTTGTGGTCCTGAGGGTGTCATATCCTTGTGTCCTCATCCTGAGGGTGTCATGCTGTTGTGTCCCCTGTTTCTGGGGTGACCTTTCTGCATCCTTTCAATGTATAGAGGGGACTTGCTAGAAAGATGGAGAAAGGCTTTGCACCCCGGCCTGTAGTGGCAGGAAAAGGGGCAATGGTTTTAAACTGAATGAGGGTAGCGTTGGGTTGGACATGAGAAAATGTTTTACAATGAGGGTGGTGAGGCCCTGGCACAGGTTGCCCAGAGAAGCTATGGCTCCTCCATCCCTGGCAGTGTTCAAGGCCAGGTTGGATGAGGCTTGGAGCAACCTGGTCCAGTGTAAGGTGTCCCTGCCCATGGCAGGGGGGTTGGAACTAAATGAGCTTTAAGGTCCTTTCCATTCTGTGATATCATGCTTCTCTGATGTCCATGTGTCCAGGTCCTGAGGATGCCATGGAAGTGTGTCTTGGTCCTGAAGGTGCTGTGGCAGTGTGTCCTTGTCATGTGTGTGTCATGATGTTGTGTCTTAGTCACAAGGGTGTCACATCCATGTGTCCAGCTCCTGTGAGTGTCACGTCATAGAATCCTAGAATGGCTTGGGTTAGAAGGGACCTTAAGGATCGCTTAGTGCAACCCCCCTGCCATAGGCAGGGACACAATCCACTTAGCCCAGGTTGCTCCAAGTCCCATCCAGCCTGGCCTTGAACACTGCCAGAAATGGGGCAGCCACAGATTCTCTGGTCAACCTGTGCCAGTGTCTCACTGCCCTCAGTGTAAACAATTTCTTCCTCATGTCCAACCCAACCCTACCCTTTTTCAGTTCAAAACCATCACCCCTGATCCTGTCACTACAGGCCCCACTAGAAGTCTGTCCACATTTTATAAGTCCTCTCTAAGTATGGAAAGGACCGTGTCATTGATTAGTTCAAGACAGCTCCTGGTTGCATGGTATGGCGTGGTGTCCTGTTCCTGAAGGCATCACGGTTGCCTGTCTCATTCCTGAGGGTGCTTTGGTTGTGTGCCCTGGTCCTGAGGAGCCAGGACATGGCTCCATGTCCTGTTTTTGCAGGTGTCAAGGCAATGTGTCCTTGTCCTGAAGGTGCTGTGGCTGTGTGTCCTTGTCCTGAAGGTGCTGTGGCTGTATGTCCTTATCATGAGGATGCCATGCCATTGTGTCCTAACTATGAGTGTGTCATGGCAGTGTGTCCTGGTCCTGCGAGTGCCTTGATACAGTGTCCAGATCCTGAGGGTGCTGTGGTAGTATTTCCTGATCCTAAAGGTTTTGTGGCACCTTGTCCTAGTCCTGAGAGTGCCATGGCTACGTGTTCTTGTCCTCAGGGTGTTAATACAGCATGTCCTGGACCTGAGGGTGTCATTACAATATGATCGGCTCCTGAGGGTGCCTTGGCAGGAGTCCTGGGGGTACCACTGCACTCTGTTCTGGTCCTGAGGGTGTCATGGCACCATGTCCTGGTCCTGAGGGTGCCTTGGCCATTTGGCCTGGTCCTGAGGGTGTCATGACCACTTTACTGGTCCTGAGGGTGTCACTGTTTTGTATCCTGGACCTGAAGGTGCCATGGCAGTGTGTCCTGGTTCTGAGGGTGTCATGGCAGTGTATCCTGCTACTGATGATACCACATCCATGTGTCTTCATCCTGAGGGTGCTGTAGCATTGTGTTCTGCTCCTGAATACGCCATGGTCATGTCTCACTGCAGCATGTCCTAATCTGGAGGTTGTTGTGGCAGTGTCTCCTGGCCCTGAGGGTACCACAGAAGTGTGTCCTAGTGCTGAAAGCATCACGGCCATGTGTCCTGGTCCTGAGGGTGTCATGGCAGCATGTCCAGTGTCCTCAGCATGTGATGACCATGTGTCCTGGTCCTGAGGGTGCCATGGCAGCATGTCCTGGTCCTTTTGTCCCATGGCCGTGTATCCTGGTCCTAACAGTGCTGTGGCAGACTGTCCTTATCCTGAGGGTCTCACAACAGCGTGTCCTTTTCTGAGTGATTTCACATTCACATATCCTGGCTCTTTGGGTGCTATGGCCTTGTCTGGTGATCCTCATGGTGTCCATGACCTGAGGGTTCCATGTCCACATGTCCTGATCCTGAGGGTGGCATTGTAGCCCTGTCCCACCCTGGAGCACATTGCCAGCCCCTCAGGCAACAGCAGCCTGGCACGCCTAAGGTGCAGGAGGCAGAACTTGGTCTTTTTGGCATAATGTGCTTTTGGCCCCGTTGTCACTGGAGATGAGTCTCTGGGACAGTGTCCTGGTGGAGAAGTCATGTCTCTAGGCTGTGGTCCCAGAGATACCCTTTGTGTTGTGAGGTCTGCAGTGGGGAAGTAGAGTCAGGACAGGGGGATGGGGACAGGGATAGAGTCCAAATGGGACTGGCCACCCCAAAGTGGTGCAAGGGAGCCTGCCATGGGTTTGGTGATGGTAGCATGAGGGCTGGGGGCATGGCCAGGGGTGCAAGCAGATCCATGTCCCTCACTGCCAGCACCCATTGCAGCTCCTTTCCCTCTCCTTCTCCACAGGTGGAAAGCAGTGACACCCCCAAAGACACCGCAGCCATCCCCAAGTGCCCCCCGCCCTGCCCAGAAGCCAGCCCTGCCGAGCCGCTGCCCAACGGGGACGTGGAGGGAGACAGCGCCCAGTGGAAGGGTGCGGAAGAGAGCAGCACAAGTCCCAAGGGTGGGCGCCCCGAGGAGGACGAGACGGAGAGCCTGCCGGACGGCGAGACGGGCCGGGCGCTGGAGAACGGCCGCTGCACCCCCAAGGAGGGCCTGGACGCCCCGGCCGATGAGGGTGAGCTGGCCCCTTCCGACCCCCAGAAGAAACGCGGGAGGAGGAAACTCCTGGAGGCCACAGAGAAAAGTAAGACCTTAGCATTGAGGGTTCCCCGTTACGGGCTGTGGCTCTGCCCGCCGTCCCACAGGTGCCTGCTGCACCCTCTGGGGACCCCCAGCATGCCATCACCGGGAGGGGTCCGGGCTGCAGTGGCTCCTGGGCTGGGGAGCGCTGCCAGAGGAGGAGGAAGGGCTGAGCCCCTCCTTACCATGTGAAATTTGGGGTGGGGGCAGCAGAACAGAGCAGGGGGCTGCTCTCGCATGATCATTCTATCACACCACCCTTCCCATCAGGCTCTGCTCCCACCAGCAGGAGTAGGGTGGGCAGGAGGGGAGGTCGGTCCTTGCCTTGCCATGGAGCTGGTGAGGGTGCCCCTGCCCGCATGCAAGCCTGCTCTGGAGTGTGCCCATCAGTGCAAGTGCTTGTACTGCTTTGCATGGCAGCCCTGCATGTACCGGGCAGAGTGGGAGGCGCGTGCATGGTGTGGTCCTGTGGCTATGCTGCTCGGGTGCTGTGGTGCTGGTGCCAGTGCTAGTGCCAATGCTGCTCTAAGTAGCAGCTCAGCAAAGGCCCTGGTGAGTCCCAGAATGAGCCAGCAGCAGGTTCTTGTGCAGTGAAGACAAATGGCATTCTGGGTTGCATTAGGAGTGTTGCCCACTGGTTAAGGAAACCATTCGGGAGCGCTGGGCCAAGTGCTGGGCTCCCCAGTGCAAGAAAGACATGGACAGACTGAAGAAAGTCCAGCAAAAGGCAGCCAAGGTGCTGGAGGAACTGGAGCATCTCTGCTGTGAGGAAAGGCTGAGGGAGCCAGGATGGCTCAGCCTGGAGCAGAGCAGGCTCTGGGGGATGGAATCCATGTCTGTAAATACCTGCAGGGAGGGGATGAGTATATATGTATGTGTGTCGTTTATGTGAGTGCATCTGGCATGCTGCCTGCCGGGGCCCATGGGGACCTTGCTTCCTGGGGCTTTGCAGTGTCTGTCACTGGCTCCCAGCCCTAGCAGAGCTGCTGCTCACCTTCCCTGGCCATAGCTGCTCACAGGCAGGAGTGGCTGCAGAGCAAAGCCAGAAAGGATGCCCGGCTACAGTTCAGGGCATGGGGGAGCAGCAAGCCCAGCAATGGCCCTGGCTGCCCTTTAGGCACACGCTGGCCTGTGGCCCTGCTGCCACCATCCCTCTTGGCCAGGAGGTGCCAAGCAGTGGGACAGGGCAGTTTGGACCAGCTATGAGCCATGAATCCCTGGCACAGGTTGCCCAGAGAAGCTGTGGCTGCTCTGTCCCTGGCAGTGTTCGAGGCCAGGTTAGACAGGGCTTGGAGCAGCCTGATCTAGTGGAAGGTGTCTCTGCCTGTGGCATGGGGTTGGAACTGGATGGGCTTTAAGGCCCCTTCTAACCCGAACCAGTCTGTGATTCTCTGAGCTGGGATGGGGACCATGCTCTCCCCACAGCAGGGGATGGACAGATAGCTGGGGACAGGAGCTGGGGTGTCACAGCACTGTCACCACAGAGTACTGTGGAGAAGGAACAGGGTGGGAGCAACAAGCACCAGGCTCTGGCTCTTGGGGATTTCTCAACCCAGCTCAGCACAGAGACCTCCTGCTGGCCATGCTGAAGGAGGGATGGAGACAAGCAAGGAGGGGCTGGCGGGTGAGGCAGGGCTGGGGATGGAGATGAGTGATGCAGATGCTGCTGCAGTCACGAGGCACTGAGCAGGCAGCTGAGGGAGTGGAGAAGCCATAGCTGGCAGCACAGAACAGGCGGTCGGGGGGAGCTTGCTGCGCTGGGCATGCTGCAGTCGGGCATGGGTTGTGGTGCAGCCCCAGCGCCATGCTGACCACAGCAGCTGAAGGGAGTGAGACCAGACAGGCTGAGACCCTGATGTGAGGACCAGTATGGAATGAGTGGAGACAGCCCCATGGGTACCCTGCTGCCAGCTCCCAGGCATGACAAATCTCCAGATGTAGAGACCACCAGCAGCAAGTACCAGTGGGAATATGAGCACAGTGCTGTGACCATAGCGCATGAGCATGGGTACCATGACCATAGGTGGGTGCTGTGAGCAGCTTAGGCTTCGCCTTCTAGCCTTGGGCTAGTGTTCAGCCCTTTCCCTTCACCATTACAGAGCCCATCCTCCTGTGACATGATCTGCCCATGGGGCCCTTGTGCACAGTGCTCATCCTCCTGCTCTTCTCACCATGCAAGCAGAACAGCAGCTGCCTGCATTCCTGCCAGGCAGGCTCTTTCCAGTCATCTGGAGGCTGTTCCCTGTCGTCCTCTCTTCTCTAGTGCTTTCCTGCAAACACAACCAATGTCTGCAGCCGTGCACTGCCTGCCCTGCAGCTGTCCGAGGCGCCTTCATTGGGCATGCTGCAAGTGCCCTGGTGATGGTTTCGAAGCAATACCAGTGGTACCCAGAGACTGAGTGGGGGAGCTATAACAGCTTCTGGGAGCTCGCTTCCTTCCCTAGAATCCATTTCCAGCACTTCAGCCATGTCTGTGCATTGTCACCTTGGTGGCTTCCGCCTGATCCTCTCTGCTTCTTGGGCCTTCAGGTCCACTGCCTCGTGCCTGGCTGGCCCAGGTGCTCTCCCGAGCACCCTTCTCTGTCTCATCCTGCACTCTTGCATCCATTGCTAGTTCCTTCTCCATGCACACTGGCTTTTCACCTCTTGCTGCCCCTCTGACAAAGCAGGGGCTTGAGGATCTTCCAGCACTGCCCAAGCCAACTTCCCAGCTGCTCCATCAGCTCTGCACCCCTTTGCTGTCCCCATGTCCCTTGTCTGCTGAAATACCCAGTGAGGGAAGGTCTTGTGCAGGATCCTGCCATTGGTTGGTAATTCTGCATCCTGGCCCATCAACACAGCAGAGAGCATGGGGCATGGTGCTGCTGCAGGGCACTGGGATGGGCAGGAGCTGAGGCCAGGGGTCTGTGCCTCAGTTTCCCTACCTGAGATCCCCATGCCTGTGGATAGGACCGGGAGGACATACTGCCTGGGCACCTCCAGGGCATGTGCACACTCCTAACCCCAGCACAGAGACAGAAAAGTTCTGTTCCCCAGTGTCAGAGCAGGGCTCTTCACTGCTCTCCTGCTCCGGCCATGCTGCTTCTGAGGGGACACCGGCTGCTGCAGAGGGGTTGGGTCACCATTTGCCAGCTGAAAGGGACTATCTGAGTGTCACTCAGGGCTGGTTGGGCAGCCGGGGGGGCTGCAGCCTGATGATATAGGGACATCACACCCTGCAACAAAGCAGAGTGCATGAGTGCATATTCAGCAGGTGAGGGGCCACCAGGGATCCAGCCAAGGTCCTCCCCTGCAGCCCAGCTCTACCAGAGCAGCTGGTGCCCAGCAGCCCGTGAGGCACAGAGGTGCTCTGCCTGGTGCAGGGACCCAGCATTGCCCACAGTGAGGCATGGGAGGGTGGGTGCACCCCATGCTCTGGCCCAGCAGCTCTGGGTGCTTGGAGGTTTGTAACCCCAGAAACGGTCAGGTTATTTTTAGCCACTTTCCTGGTAGTGTCTCAGCACGTACCTGCAGCACATGAGATGTGCTGATAGCACAGGAAGCCGTCGGGGCTCCGCGTGCTTCCCCTGCCTGTCCTGGCCCCGGCCCCGGCCCCAGCGGGGCCTGCTCACCCAGACCACCCAAAACCCCTTTGGCAGGGTGTGGGGAAGGGGCACAGGAGCAGCCAGCTTACATCCCAGCAGCCAGCATCCCCCAGGGAGTACAGCCCAGGGCTCACAGAGCAGTGATGAATGCCCTTCCAGGGCCCAGGACTAGCCCTCATCCAGGTTTGGGGTCCCGGGTGGGCCCCTTCTCCCCTGCAGGGGTCTGGGGGCCCCTGTGCTATAGCACTGAGCTGATGGCTGCTCTCTGTTCTATGTGCAGGCAAGGAAGAGAAGGAAGAAAACAACTTTGACACCCTGAAAATGGAGGCAAGTATGACCCCCACTGGGGGCTGCACCGAGGCACCCGCAGGAGATAGGCAGAGCCCTGCTGCCTAGCAGCCAGCACAACACACTGAACCATGGAAACTGGCACTCCCTGACCCAACAGGAACCACTGGGGAGTAGCAGGGATGGGGTCCCCAGTAGAATGGGGGCCCTGGGCTCCTGCACCCTGATACAGTGCTGGCCTCTGAGCTGGGGACCAGGCGACAGCGAGCTATGGCCAGGCCAGTGAACCACCCTCCATCCACCTTGCCCAAGGGACAGTGCTTGTGTGGGATGACCTCACACCACCCCTGGGTGCCAAGGCAGAACATATCAGCCTGGGGTAGATCCATGCCCCGGATGGTGCTATCAGTGCCCATTGAAGTGCAGCCAGCCCCAGAACGGTGCCTGGCCCTGGTGCATTCAAGTCCTGGTGCAGATGTGGGCCAGGGGATTTCTATGTGCGTGCACCCAGTCCTCCCCGTGTCCATATCAATCCCCCAGTGCATCCCAGCATGCACAATCAGGGTGCCCACCTCCAGCCCCTGCAGGCAGCTTCACTCCATCCTCCCCAGAGCCTTTCCTGTCCCAGGCCATGGCTCCTGTCATGCTGCCATTCCCTGTGCCACAGCAGCACCAGAGCTGCAGCCTTCAGCCTCCTCTCTCTCCCTTCATCGGCAGGGCTCCCGCGGGCGACTGCGTGGCGGGCTGGGCTGGGAGTCGAGCTTGCGGCAGCGGCCCATGCAGCGGCACACCTTCCAGGCCGGGGACCCCTACTACATCAGCAAGAGGAAGCGGGATGAGTGGCTGGCCCGCTGGAAGAGGGAGGTGAGGATCCGGAGAGCGCCAGAATGGGCAGGAGGGGGGCACCACAGCACAGTGGCAATGCCAGGATGGGGGGGGCTGTGTAGCGGTGGTGGTCTGAGCACCCCAAACCTTCTGGTGTCTGTAAGGCTTCCACTAATAATTGCAGCATCACTAATGTTGCCATCACTCATGACAGCAGGCAGAGCTCTGGCTAATCACCACATGGCACCGGCAGTGCCAGGGTGACCAGCTGCATGAGTGTTGGTCATATCAGGGTGGGGGCTCAGGTGGGTAGCACCATGCTGTGGGGCTGGCGTTGGAGTGGGCACTGCCCATGAGACCACTGCCCATGGCCACTGGCGTGCCTGCACCGAGGTTGTGCACCAGCATGGGCAGCTTCGCTTCTCATGCCTGTGGCCCCCGGGGGTCCACTGTAAGCCTGGTGTGCACAGCCGCCGGTGCGGGCAGCGCGGGGCCCTTCCTTCTCCTGTGGGATATGCCGGATGTGCCGTTCCTGACGGTTTCCTGGGGAACCAGCATGAGCCATGACGCAGCCGAAATTGCATAGCCGAGGGCAGCAGCAGGAGACCAGGGGGCGGTGGTGTCCACGGCGCAGGAGCAGGGCTGCAGGCAGGCTGTGGTGTCAGTGGCAGCTCGGGGGATGCCATGGGGGCACCGTGGGAGTCCCATCCCAACCAGTGTGTCTGCCACTCCCCCTGTGCCCTGTTGTCTGCATCATTCCCAGCTGCCAGCGAGTCTCCCAGGCAACAGGTCCGCTCTTGCCATTGCTGCCCTGGCACTATTTATAGCTCTGCACTGCTGAGCACTGTCATGCTGGCACCACACGGGGCTAGGGCTGGCTGGCATGGCCAGAGCATCCTGCAGGGCATGGCTGCCATGGCCTCGGTGTTCCCATAGTGCACAAGACATGGACAGGTCATTCCATGGGGCACAGGGCATGGCTGGCATGGCCAGTGTCCCTATGGTACAGGGAACATCTGGCACAGCCACCATGTCCCCATGTGGCACAGCTGGCATGGCCACAATGTCCCTATGGGTACAGGGCAAGGCCTGTGCATGGGGCACAGGGCATGGCTGGCACTGCCGTGATGTCCCCACAGGCACAGGGCACTACTGGCATGGCCATGGTGTCCCCATGTGGCATGGCTGGTAGGGCCAAGGTGGCTGTGCCAGAGGACCTCATGGACCAGCTCCCCCCCAGGTTGGCTGGCCCAGGCACAGAGGGACTGGCAGCCAGGGTGAGTGGCTCACCACTCTCTGTGGGTTTGTGTGTGGCTGCTGCCACAGGCTCAGGATGTGCTGGTGGTGCAAGGGTGGCCCAAGGGGAGCCCCAGACAGAATGGGCACCCCCAGGCACAAGGGGACTGTGTGGCTGGAGGGAGCTTTGCCAAACACAGGGCTGGGGTTCAGGTTCGCAGCCTCAGCCTGTCACAGGGGGCACCAGCAATGCAGCTGTTTGCCCACAGCTCCAGTGCAGACGTGCTCTGGCTGCCAGCAACACTGCAGCTACAGATCCTGCACCATGGCTCAGCCATGGGCTGGTGGTGGCTGTCCCAGCCATGCAGGGCACACTGCAGCCGGGCGCTGCACTGGGGAGGTTGGTGGTTGCAGGCGCCAAGTAACAATTTTCCAACACACGGTTCCCTCGCCAAAACAAATGCAGATTCAGGTCAGCCAGAATGGCTCATCAGCCAAAAATAATTGGGAAGAAATGCTTAAAAAGTCAAAATACTTCTTCTGAGGAGTCGCTCCTCCTCAAACAATGCTGAACTTCACCACGCTTCATGCCCTTATTTTTCTAATAAGAATAAGTGTTTTCTTTTCATTATGGGGAGAAAGCCTGAAACGCTTTCAGCCTGTGTTGGCCTTTTCCCCTGATCTCAGCTGACGCCCGGCACCAATTGTCACTTGTTGGTGGTGTCAGCAGTGTGGTCCCCAGTGACAGGGACATACCACCCACAGCCTGTGTGGCTCCATCATGGAGGGAACATTGCCCTTTCCCTTCCTCCAGTGAGCCCCCTGTGCCAGATGCAGTGCTGACCAGGCTCTGATATGGCACTGGCCATACCCTAAACGGGTTTGGTCTTTTGGGGGTGCAAGGGACCTGGAGAGCTGGGGGACAGGAACCCCATGCCATGGCCCCCCTTGGCAGCAAACCTGCCTGGCACTGGTGCCAGCCCTGCCTCATCTTTCCAAATTGGAGCCCACGTACACTGTTGAAGCTGTTTCCCTCTCTGCAGAGGTCCCCAAACCCATAATCAGTCACCTCTGGGGTGTATTTTTAGCAAGCAAAGCGTCTGTGGCACCCGTCGGCCAGTCACGGCCACTCCTCATCCCTGGACAGTGCCAGGGCTTCCCCACCATGTGCCACCTGTGGCAGGGACACCCACTGACCATGCCCCAGCACTGCTTTGGGGCAGAGGCTGCTGAGGGGTCCCAGCAGCTTGGCTGGGGTCACCAGACCTGCTGGGATGGGGATGGCCCCTTCCAGCCTTCCCTCCTCTTCCTCCCCTCACAGACTGAGGACTGTCCCTTCTGCTCGCCAACCCCAAGGTTGCAGACAGAGCTGTAATTTTGAGGTCCAGGCACTGGCCTTTGCTCATCTGTGCTGGGACACACTGGTGTTGGCTGTGCACTCCTAACCCTGTGCCAGCCATGGGGCAGAGAGGGGATGGAGGTAATAGGGATAGGGCAGACAGTGGAGGTGGGATGAGGATGGAGGTGCAGATAGGATGAGGATAAAGCAGAGGCAGGGGATGGGAATAAGAATGGGATGAAGATGGAGATGGGGATAGGGTTAGGGGTGGAATGGGGCAAGGACAATGGATAGAGAGTGTGAACAATCTGCAGAGGGACATTTTACAAAGGCATGTATTGAAAGGACAAGGGGGAATGGCTTTAAGCTGAAAGATGCGGGATTTAGATTAGACATTAAGTTCTTCCCTGTGATGGTGGTGAGGCCCTGGCACAGGTTGCCCAGAGAACCTGTGGCTGCCCCATCCCTGGCAGTATTCAAGGCCAGGTTGGACAGGGCTTGGAGCAACCTGGTCTAATGGAAGGTGTCCCTGCCTGTGGGAGGGGTTGAAGCTAGATGAGCTTTAAGGTCCCTTTTCACCCAAACCAATCTGTGATTCTTTGATTCTATGGGATAGAGATGAAGATGGAGATGAAACTGGGGCTGAGCTGAAGATTGAGATGGGGATGGGGCAAGAGATGGGGCAGTGGGATGGGGGTGGAGATGGAGAGGAGGATGGGATGGGGCAGGGACAGTGGATGGGGATGTGATGAAGATGGAGATGAGAATGGGGATGGGGGTGGAAATGCAGACAGAGAGGGGAATAGGGATTGAAATGGAGATGGGGATGTAAATGCAGATGGAGATGAGGATGGAGATAAGGATGGGGCAGGGACAGTGGATGGGGATGGGATGGAGAGGAGGATGAGGATGGGGGTGGGGGTGGGGCAAGGACAAGGATAGGGAATGGGAATGGGGATGGGGGTGGGATAGAGTGGGAATGGGAATGGGGATGCAGATGAGCATGAAGCAGGGAACGGAGGTGGTATGTGGCAGTGGCAGAGTCTGGGCAGAGCTGCCAGTGGCCCAAGGTAAGGAGGGTTGACTGGATGTGACCATCCCCTGAAGATCCAGCTTATCTGTCTGCTTTAATGACCGTGAATGGGAGATTTCCTCCCTGTGCCTGACTCCTGCCTGTCCCCAAGAGCAAAGCAAAAGCACCCCCACAGCAGGGAGCCAGGCCTCTGCTGGGGCTTCCACCCTCCCCTTCCTCATCCCCCCACCCTGACTGCAGCCTTGCCCCAGCTCCCTTCTGGTCCTGCCGGCTCTCCCCATGGCCCCAGTGGATGCCTCAGGTACCTTACAGCACCACAGTGCACAGGGCACCCCTCACCGGGGGTCCCTGCCTGGCAACATGGGTCTCAGCCAGCACCTTGTGACTCCCCATCCCGTGGCTTGGGGTGATTTGTTTCATTCCATGTCCCCAGAGCAGCTTTGTTGCTCTGGCACAGCTACAGGCTGCTGGAGGGGACGGGGTGCCTGTGACCAGGAGGACCAGTGCCACACTGTGTTGAGGGTGTTTGGAGACCCTTGGTGTGTCCTGGGGTCCCTTGGGATGCCAAGAAGTTGCTTTGGGTGAGGCAGTTTGGCCAACATGCCCCGTCCCCCAGGCTCCTACTGGTCAGGTTGAGGGTTCTGCTGCCACACACGCACACACACCCCAGCCCTCCCAGCACGCGGGCAGCCCCTGCGAGGGGCTGACAGCCATCCATCCACCCCTTTGTCCCTCCACTCTGCAACACAAACGGGTGCCAGAGCTCTGGAGCCGCCACTCTCCAGGACACTGCCAGGCTAGGGTCCCCAGGACTGTGCCCCCCCCGCCAGGCCCAGGCAGCCAAGGTTATGGTGTGCTGGCAGGGTCTGTCCAGGTGATCTGGACCTGGATGAGTGCCATGTCGGGTCCCGATGGGCTGAACTGGGTGATTTGGTCACAGACCAGTGCCATGGTGGGTCTGATTAGAACTGAGCCATCTGGGCCCAGGTCAGTGCCATGTGGGTCTGATTAGAACTAAGCCATCTGGGCCCAGACCAGTGTTTGTGAGTCTGGCTGAACTGGGCCATCTCGTCCCGGACCAGTGCGTGTGGGTCTGGGCTAAGCTGGGTGATGTGGTCCCAGACCAGTGTGGTGTCGGTGTGTGCCAGTGGGCTGAACTGAGTGACCTGGACTCAGACCCATGCCCTGTGGGTATGGCTGAACTAACTGGGCCATTTGGTCCCAACCCAGTGTGGTGTCAGTGTGTGCCAACGGGCTGAACTGGGTGATCTGGACTCAGACCAGTGCTGTGTGGGTATGGTTGAACTAATTGGCCCATTTTGTGCCAGACCAGTGCACACAGGCCTGACTGGAACTGGGCCATTTGGTCCTGAACCAGCCCTGGTAGTTCTGGGCTGAACTGAGCCATCTGGTCCCAGACCGGTGCATGTGGGTCTGTCTGCACAAAACTGGGTTATCTGGTTCCGGACCGGTGCTGCGCGGGTGCGTGGGGACGTGCTGAGCAGTGCCCCAGTACTGCTCTCAGACCCGGGTCCGTAACGGGCCGCGCTGGTGCCCCAGGGCCCGGTCCGCAGCCGGGCTGCATGAGGCGAGCTGGGCTAGCGGTTCCGCCGGTTGCCGGGCCAGGGGGCAGGGGGGAAGGGCCGGAGCCCCGGGCGGATTCCTGCCGTGACGGGGCGAGGCCCCCTGGAGTGCCGCCGCCCCCCGCCCAGTCCCGTCCCGCCGCACAAAGGGGCCGGGGGGCCGCGGCCCCGGGACAAAAGGCGGCGCGGAGCGGCCCCGCGGTGGGGAGGCTGTCCCAGCCCAGCCCGGACGGGATCGCTGCCGCTGGGCCGGTGAGTACCGCGGGAGCGGGCCGGAGACTGGGAAGCGGGGAAGGGGCCGCGATGCGCCGGGCTGAGCTGAGCCGAGCCGAGCCGGACTGCACGGGACCGGACCGACACCAGAGCCAGGACCGGGCCACGGTGCGAGCGGGGCCGAGTTGTGCCGAACTGAACCGAGGCCGGCGGAGCCGAGTTAACGAGCTGAGCCGAGTCGGTCCGAGCGGAGCCGAGCGGGCCCGAGTGGACCCGAGGTGCGGGCAGGGGGCCGGGCCGGGCTGTCCCCCCGGGCGCCGCGCGGCCCCTCCCCGCCGCAGCCAACCAGCCGGGCCGGGAGGCACCATGTGACCCGGGATCCCAGACAAAGAACCGCCGGCCCTGCCCCCGCGGCCCGGCTCGGCTCGGCTCGGCCCGGCTCGGCTCGGCTCGGCTCGGCTCGGCTCGGCTCGGCTCGGCTCGGCTCAGTTCGGCTTGGCTCAGTTCGGCTCGGCTCGGCTCAGTCCACCTGGCCCTACTCGGCTCAGTTCGCCCCAGTCTGGCTCGGTTCGATTCGGCTCAGTTCGGCTCGGCTCGGCCCGGCCCGCCGCGGCGCCCAGCCCGCATGGGTAGGTGGCCCCCGCGGGGAGGGAGGTCCGGCCCGGCTCGGCTCGGCATGGCCAGCGCAGTTCAGCACACTCGGCCTGCGGACAGCGGGAGCCCGGACGAAGGGCGACCGGGGAGGGTGACACGTGTCCGAGGGTCTGGGTGTCTTGGACTGGGACAGAGGGAAAGGGTGCCGGGAGGGTGCGGATGGGGCTGCACCTCCAGAGCAGAGGCTCGGGGACAGGGACCCCCCAGGGGACAGGCCATGGGGAGCAGGGTGATGGGGCTGGAGAGTGCAGGAGCCAGGCCAGCCCGGGGAGGGAACGGTGCAGGGAGTCAGGACCAGTGCCAGCTCCTCTGGCGTCGCGGGGTGCCACGGGTTGTGTTTTGGGGGTCTCCCCGCTGGGGACACCCCGCTGAGCTGGGGGCAGGGACAGCCCATTGTGGTGGTGGCTGCCACCGACACCCTGCCGCGGAGCTGCCCCATCAACCCTGAGCCATCCCTTCCCAACTGCAGGGGGAAACTGAGGCACGGGAACCAAGGGGAGACAGGGTGATGGGGGGCAGAGTAGGGGGGGCATACGTGCCCAGAGAAGCTGTTAGCAGTAGCACCAGCTGCTTTTGGGGTGCTGCCAGGCCCCCCTGCCCATGTCTCAGGGTGCAGGTGCGCGGTGCTCCATAGCCTTGCCCTGACCGATATGGTGTGTGTGTCCCCCAGGCGGAGAAGAAGGCAAAGGTGATCGCCGTGATGAACGTGGTGGACGAGACGCCACGGACAGAGCCCCAGAAGGAGGAGGAGGCCAGCCCCCCCGCCTCGCAGCAGCCCACTGACCCCGCCTCACCCAATGTGGCCACCACGCCTGAGCCGGTGGTGGCCGATGCTGTCGACAAGAACACCTCCAAGTCAGCCGATGATGAGCCAGAGTATGAGGTGAGGGCATGGCTGGCTGGAGAAGGGGGGTCTGAGGGGCTGCTGCCCCCAGGGATGTGGACACCCCTTCCTACCGGCCTCTGACATTCCCACTGTCTCATCATGGCAAAGGATGGCCGGGGCTTCGGCATCGGTGAGCTGGTGTGGGGCAAGTTGCGCGGCTTCTCCTGGTGGCCTGGGCGCATTGTCTCCTGGTGGATGACAGGCCGGAGCCGGGCAGCTGAAGGCACTCGCTGGGTGATGTGGTTTGGGGACGGCAAGTTCTCAGTGGTAAGTCGCACCTGCAGCGTGGGGGGTACAGGCAGCCCTCATGTCCCCAGGCGTTCCCCCATCCCAGCTCATGTCCACGTCCTGTCCCCCAGGTCTGTGTGGAGAAGCTGCTGCCACTCAGCTCTTTTGCCAGCGCCTTCCATCAGGCCACCTATAATAAGCAGCCCATGTACCGCAAAGCCATCTACGAGGTGCTGCAGGTGAGTAGCGCTGGCACCTCCAGTGCCAGAAAGGTGGGGGGACACTGGTGCCCATGGGATGGAGATGTAGGAATAGCATCTGCCCCTTCATTGCTCCAGGATCCAGCCTTGCCTTGACTCATGCACCCAGCATTGTCTTGGAGAGCACAGACTGCCTCTGACAAAGTGGGGTTGTCTGCAGGGGACTCCCTAAGGAGGTTTTGAGGGTATCTGGGAATCTTGTGTTCCAGCCTGGGGGGTCTGTTGGGGAGATCTCTGGGGAGCTGCTGAAGATGCTGGGGGAGTCCTGGCTTTTTGGGGGTCTTCTAGCAGTGTTGGGGGTTTCTTGTGGGGCAATATGGGGGTCCCTTTGGGGCTGGGGGCTGCTTGGCTGGGCAGTGCAGTGTCTGGTGGCCCCTTGGCAGGGTGGAGGGATGGCTGGGTGACGGCTGGTCCTGCTGCTCCCCGAGCAGGTGGCAAGCAGCAGAGCAGGGAAGATCTTCCCGGCGTGCCCTGAGAATGATGAGACAGACACCTCCAAGGTGGTGGAGATCCAGAATAAGCAGATGATCGAGTGGGCCCTGGGCGGCTTCCAGCCCTCTGGCCCCAAGGGTCTGGAGCCCCCCGAAGGTGAGCAATGTGAGACTGGACATGGGGCCAGGGACCTGCTTGGTTGCCTTGGATGCATCAGGTCTGGCATCACTGGGGTGGTGTGGGTAGAGGAAGCACTGTGGGTCCTGGGGGGGAGTCCCTGAAGGGTGTGTAGCCCTCAAGACCCTGCTAATGGGACCCCACATGCTCCTTGCAGAGGAGCGAAACCCCTACAAAGAAGTTTACACGGAGATGTGGGTAGAGCCGGAAGCAGCTGCCTATGCACCACCCCCACCCGCCAAAAAACCCAGGAAAAGCACAACGGAGAAGCCGAAGGTCAAGGAGATCATCGATGAGCGCACCCGAGGTACCACCCGGGGGGTCAGGGCTGTGCAGACACGGCTTTGATTGGCTGTGAGCCTGCCAGGGCTCGCTCCTGGTGCTGGCGGGGCTGTGCTTGCCACAGAGGCTGCACAGAGGGGACCTGGCTGGGGCAGGGCTGGTGCCAGGCATTATCACCCCTTCTCCTGACTCCTCTCTCCCTCCCCAGAGCGGCTTGTGTATGAGGTCCGGCAGAAATGCAGGAACATTGAAGGTGAGCGTGGGGCAGTACCTGGCTCTGGGGCTGGGACCCATCCTGTCCCTGGGGATGGGGCTGGGGTGCAGGGTCTTTCCTTGTCTGGGCACCAATTCTGGCTGCAGGGCTAGGAGCAGCAGGGGAACTCAAACAGACAGGAGATGGACAAGGCACCAGAGGATGGGCTCATCCCATTGCTCAGCACAGCTGGCAGGAGGGACAGCAACAGGGATGGCAGCAGCACTGCTCCAGACAGTGGCGGAGACCCTTGCGACACTGTCAGGGACCCCTGGGACAGTGCCAGGGGCTGGGGACAGTAGAGCTAGGGCACTACTGGGGGCCAGGATGGGGACAGGGAGGCAGTGGGAGCCCTGTCCCCAGGGTTGGTCCCCCTCCCACTGCAGTGGCTCTCCCAGCATTTTGGGGCTGGCAAAGGGCTCTGCCACTCCCCAGCTCAGGGGGTGAAGTTGGGGTGGCACAGTCTTGGAGGGGAGAGCATTTTCTAGGGTAGGTGAGAGTTAGGCTGCTCTCTGTGTGCTTGGCTCACCCTGGTGTGGAGTGTTGGAGGGTGGTAGACTGTAGAAGAACATGTCTTCTCCCCCCAGACATCTGCATCTCCTGTGGGAGCCTCAACGTGACCCTGGAGCACCCTCTATTTATCGGAGGAATGTGCCAAAACTGCAAGGTATGGCACAGCATGGCCAATGCCAGGCGCAAAGGCACAGCTGGGTCCCCCCTGACACCCTGTTCCGGAGTTGTCCCTGCCAGGAGCTGTCCCAGTGCCCTCGCAGCCTGCCCAGCATCGCAGTGTGGTGTCCTGGTGTCTCTGGCGCAGGGCTCAGGCTGCACCATGCTCACACCTTTGTTCTCCCCCAGAACTGCTTCTTGGAGTGCGCGTACCAGTACGACGATGACGGCTACCAGTCCTACTGCACCATCTGCTGTGGTGGCCGCGAGGTGCTCATGTGCGGCAACAACAACTGCTGCAGGTCTGGGGAACCGTCCTGATGTGGGGCTGGGGAGTTTTCAGTGATGCCTTGTTCCCAGCAGAGGACTGGGGAGGTTTCAGGGTGGCCATGGTCCTGCCATGGGGCTGAGAGGTTTTGGTGATGCTGCAGTCCTAGCATAGGGCTGGGGAAGTTTTGGGAAGGCCTCGTTTTTGGCATGAGACTGTGGAGGTTTTGGTGATGCGATGGTCCTGACATGGGGTTTTGGTGATGCCAGTCCTGGTGTGGGGCTGGGACATTCTGCTCTCAGTATGGGACTAGGAGGTTTCGGTGGTGTCACAGTGCCAGTGTGGCATTTTGGTGGTGCCCCAGTCCTGGCATGGTGCTGGGGAGGTTTTGGTGATGTCCCAGTCCTGGCATGAGGCTAAAGAGGTTTTGGTGATGCCCTGGTCTGTGTGTGGGGCTGGGAGATGTTTTGCTTATCCCCCAGTTCCAGCCTGGGGCTGGGGAGGTTTTGGTGAAGCCACAGTCTTGGTGTGGCATTGGGGAGGTTTCTTTGGTGTACCCTAGTCTGGTTTTGGAGTTCTGGTGATGTCCTAGTCCTGGCATGTGGCGGGAGAGGTTTTGGTGATACTGCAGATCCCACCTGTGGGTCTTTGTATGGGTCTGGTGAAGGTTTGGGCAGTGCTGTAGGTCCCAGCATGGGTCTGCTGGTCCCAGCATGCCCTGTGCCACTGGCCTGCAAGGAGCACAACCTGGACTTAGTCCCACTAGGACCATGCCGGGGACACTGTCCCCTTGTAGCAGGGATGCTGCCAGGGGGCACCAGCCCAATCTGGCTGCTGACACCATCTCTGCTCCCCCAGGTGCTTCTGTGTGGAGTGTGTGGACCTGCTGGTGGGCCCAGGGGCGGCCCAGGCGGCCATCAAGGAGGATCCCTGGAACTGCTACATGTGTGGCCATAAGGGTGTCTACGGGCTGCTGCGGCGGCGGGAGGACTGGCCCTCACGCCTCCAGATGTTCTTCGCCAACAACCACGACCAGGAGTTTGTGAGTGTCCCTCCGGAAGAACCCCACCGTCCCCAGCTGGGTCCCCACTGCCCCCTACCACCCTGCCCCACCTGATGCCTTACCCATGGCTTTCAGGACCCACCAAAGGTGTACCCACCGGTGCCAGCTGAGAAGAGGAAGCCCATCCGGGTGCTCTCGCTCTTCGATGGCATTGCCACAGGTGAGAGTGAGTGCCTGGCCTGGGGGTGGAGGGTCCTGTGCCCATCAGGGTGTCATCAGTGTGTGGACATACCTGTGTTGCCTGTGGGACCCCCCAGCCAGTTCTTCTGCCCAAGGCCTTTGGATGCTGTAGGCACTGGGGCAGCATCCCTGGTGGGCAGGGAGGCACTGTTGTGGAGACAGGAATGGGGATGGCATGGGGATGGTGGTGCTGCCAGAGCAGACTGGGAGAGGGGGTGGGGGCCCATTGTCCACATGTCGCCTACCCCAGCCTCACTCCCTACAGGCCTACTGGTGCTGAAGGACCTGGGTATCCAGGTGGACCGCTACATCGCCTCTGAGGTGTGTGAGGACTCCATCACTGTCGGCATGGTGAGGCACCAGGGCAAGATCATGTACGTCGGGGACGTCCGAAATGTCACCCAGAAACACGTACGTCCTGCTGGCTGGCCTCCCCTGTGGCTCCCCGCTCCCTGCAGGCAACCCAGCCCCCTAAAGCTCAGCCCCATATCCCCAGGATGGAACCTGTCCCTTGTCCACATGCTGGGCTTCACCGCCATGGCCTCGCAGTGTGTCTCCTGAGCCAGCAGCAGCAGTGTCCAGCACCTGGCTCACTGATGGCTCTCCCTCTTGCAGATACAGGAGTGGGGCCCATTCGACCTGGTCATTGGGGGGAGCCCCTGCAACGACCTCTCCATTGTCAACCCAGCCAGGAAGGGGCTCTACGGTATGTGTCTCAGTGTTTCCCTACCACCAGCCTCCACTGACAGCGCCTATAGCAGACATCAACCCCACTTGCTCTCTCCTCCCAGAGGGTACCGGCCGGCTCTTTTTCGAGTTTTACCGCCTGCTCCACGAAGCCCGGCCCAAGGAGGGTGATGACCGGCCTTTCTTCTGGCTCTTCGAGAACGTGGTGGCCATGGGGGTGAGCGACAAGAGGGACATCTCGCGCTTCCTGGAGGTGAGTGCCAGCGAGTCACCAAGGACTCCAAGGGTCCTGCAGAGCCCCACTGAGTTCTTGCCTCTTGCCCTTCTTGCAGTCCAACCCCGTCATGATTGATGCCAAAGAAGTGTCTGCAGCACACAGGGCACGGTACTTCTGGGGGAATCTTCCTGGGATGAACAGGTTGGTGAGAGCACCCAGGAACTGAGCCACTTGTCTGCCTGCTGGGGGTTGTGGTGTCCAGGAGCCCCTGATCCAGCACTGGGAGGGAGGGAAGGTGATGCTGGGGCTGCAGGAAAGGCAGGACTCCTGTGTCCTACCTGATCCGGCTCTTAGGATCTGGTGACCTCCCATCAGTGCTGGGCAAGGGCAGGGGGAGCTCATGAAGTGGTGCTGGGTGACAGGACACCCCAAAGCCCAGAGCCCCCATAGAGGCGTGTCGTGCTTTAAGCCCAGCTGGTAACTTAGCACCACGCAGCTGCTCGCTCACCCCCTACCTTAACTGCTCCCTCCCTATCCCCCCCCAGCCCCGGCACTATGGGGAGGAGAATCAAAAATTGTGAACTCGATGGGTTGAGATAAGAACAGTTTAATAACTAAAGTGTAATATTATATTATTTTTGTTATTGTTAATAATAATAATAAGGGAAATAACAAGGGGAGAGAATATAAAACTAAAAAGGGAAAAGAAAAAGAAAACAAGAAACACAATTGATGCACAATGCAATTGCTCACCACCCACCGATACCCAGCCTGACCCAAGCAGTGATCTGGGCCTTCTGAGTAACTCCCCCTAGTTTCTATGCTGGGCATGACGTGCTGTGGTATGGAATACCCCTTTGGCTAGCTTGGGTCAGGTGTCCTGTCTCTGCTTCCTCTTGGCTTCTTGTGCCCTTCCTCACTGGCAGAGCACGATACTGACAAGTCCTTGATCAGAGCAAGCATTACTTAGCAACAACTAAACCACTGATGTGTTATCAGCACTGTTCGCAGACTAAAGCTGAAACACAGCACTGCACCAGCTACTAAGAAGAGAAAAATAACCCCACAGCTGAAACCAGGACAAGGTGAATGGTCCTGTCCTTGCTCCTTCTTTCTGGTGGGGCAGTGTGGAGCTGCCCTCCATTATCCCAGACTGAGGCCATGCTGGCACACAACTGGTGGTTGTAGGCAGGCTTCCAACAGGATTGGCTGCTGTTCACCGTTGTCTGCCACAGCCCCCCAAAACAGCCTTGGCCACCTGGCACCCCCCACAAACCGCATCTGGAGACCTGTCCTGTGCCAGCATGGGTATATGCACTGCCACTCCCTTACCAACCCATCTCTCTTCCCTAGGCCACTCGCATCCACAGTCAACGATAAGCTGGAGCTGCAGGAGTGCCTGGAGCATGGCAGGATAGCAAAGGTCAGCGCCAGCAGCACACAGGGTGCAGCTGGTGGGAGTGGGGGCATTGTGGGCAAGGGGGTGGTTGGGGTCCTGCAGTGGGGTTCAACAGCCACCCCCAGCGCAGGGTCCTGGCCTCCTTAGGCTGCTGGGAGGGGGTCCCATGAGCAGGGAGGAGGAGGGACATGATGGTGGCACTGGTACCCCAGAATGGTGTCACCCTGCCTGTGAGCCCCCTGCCAATCTGGCCGGTGCACCAGGGAGCTCTGTGTACCCCCCAGCATGACAAGCCTGTGCCTCTTGCAGTTCAGCAAAGTGCGAACTATCACCACTCGCTCCAACTCCATCAAGCAGGGCAAGGACCAGCATTTCCCCGTCTTCATGAATGAAAAGGAGGACATCCTGTGGTGCACAGAGATGGAGAGGTACCGCAGCTGGATGCGAGTGCGCTGGGTGGGGGGAGTGCCAGCAGTGCCACATCCCCCCCCGACCCCACTCCCTGTGTCCCCACAGGGTCTTCGGCTTCCCAGTGCATTACACAGACGTGTCCAACATGAGCCGCCTGGCCCGGCAGAGACTGCTCGGCAGATCCTGGAGCGTGCCGGTGATCCGCCACCTCTTTGCTCCCCTGAAGGAATACTTTGCCTGCGTTTAAGAGAGACAGACAGGAACTGGTGACACGGAGCGAGTCAGAAACAAAACCATCCACGCCAAGAGAAGTGAAAATACAGAATGAGAAAAGAGTCAGCACCCAGAAGAGAGATGGGATTTCACAGCCCAATGGGAACCCGGCACACGTCTCCCCGAGCAAAAGGGTTCGGTGTCCTCTCCTGAATTTCCAATGTTCAGCTTTTAGCCTATTTAAAAGAAAAAAACACAAAAAAAACCAAACACCACCAATGAAAACAACAACAAAAAAAAGGCGAACGAAAAAAAAAGAAAAAAAAAAAGGAAAACAAAAAACCAAAACCATTTTTTTTGGGGGGTAACCTTTTCATTTTCCGCTCTTTTCTGGCTGGGTTTTTCTGTTGGTTTGGTTTCCGCTTCTCGGAGCAGCGGGCGAGATGAGATGCTGTCGCCAGCTCTGCTCTCAGAGGAGGGGAAACAGCAGCGGGAAACCCCAGCCGGGAGAGAGGTGGAGGCGAAGGAGAACCCGCTCCGTCAGCGCCGAGCTCGCGGCCCCAGCCGCCGGCCTGGTGAGCTTGTGGGGAGCGCGAAGCGGCAGGGAGGCGCTCGGCCGGCTCCGCAACACCCAGCAACTGAGCCTCACTCTTTTCCACCAGCACCGTTCACTGGTGATATGGAGCCAACCCAACTGGCAGGGAAGCCGAGAACACACACACCACAACACACACCTTTTCTACAGTATTTTGGGTGCCTACCACATGGGAAACCTTGAAGAAAGCAAATTCTAGAAGCCGCTGTTACCTCTTGTTTACAGTTTATATATATATGATAGATATGAGATATAGATATATATATATATAAAAGGTACTGTTACTACTGTACAACCTGACTTCATAATGGTGCTTTTAAACAGCGGGGTGAGTCAAGACATCAGCTTCCATGTTGCCTTACGTGCCGGGCCTTTCCGAGCGAGCGGCGCAGGAGGGGGCCGGGGCTGCGGCCGGGCGGGAAGCGTCTCCATCCCGAGTCATGCAATAACCTTTTTCTGTCCTAAAAGGAAGCGCCTCCCTCGGCGGCGGTGGCGGTGGTGCTGGTGGTGGTGGTGGTAGTGGCCGCCCTGCCTGCCTTGCCCGCCACGTGCACAAACGTACTGGTGCTCTTCTGCATACGTGGCGTCCCCGGCCAGGCTGGTGCTGGGTGTCCCCCCTCCAACCCGGTGGCAGCAGCAGGGTGCCTCTGCCTGCTCCTGCCTGCAGGTGCTGCCTGCCGGGGCGGCGCGGGGCACAGGTGCTGTGAATCGGGCTCTTGCCGAAAGCCGTGGCTGTGCAGGAGGACGCGGGCAGGGCAGGAGGCAGGCAGAGAGGAAGCACAGGACGGAGCGGTGCTGGAGCATGGCTGGGGCGCTCCCAGTGCAGGATGAGGACAGCTGCAGGTCCGTGGACCCTGGTGCTACATCCGCGGGTCCGGGCTGGTTGGCAGGAGGATGATTCCCTGGTGAGCCAGGATGGGACCCTAGTGTTACGCACTGGGTGACTTGAGGCATTGCTCCTCTGTTGGAGTGTGGTTCTGGAGTGACTGTGTCCTGTCAGTGCCCTGTGTCCCCTTCCCAGGGCAGTGGGTGCCCGCGAGGTGCATGGCGGGCACAGCAGTGTTGGTGTCAAGGGCAGGCAGCTCTGGCTGCAGGGGCCAGGTGCTGCAGTGGTGTTGGTGGTGCAGAGAGCAGCCGTGGTGCATATAGGCAGGTGCTGGCGTTGCTGTGGATGGCTACTTGTTTGGCAGCTGTGGATGCCACAGGAGGACAGTGGGTCTGGTGTGGTGCAGGGGAATTGCTTCACATCCTCGGTGCCCACTGGGGTGGCCGGGTCCTGTGCCTGGCAGGGGCAGGGACCGGTGCTATGGCGCTGGGGGGGACTCAAATTGTGTCTCCAGCCCATTGCCGTCTCTTCTCTAACTGTGAAAGGTGCTGAAGGTCTGCAGGCAGGAGAGGGGTCCGCTGGCTGCTCGGTGCAGGGTGCTGGCTAATGGCAGCGAGCCGCGCTGGCGGCCCCAGGGTGCTGAGAGGTGCTGGGACCGATGGTGGCGGTGAGGGCGAGTGGGGTGGCCTCAGCGCCCCACATCTCCCCACAGCGCCTGGTGCTACTGGGGGTTTGGAGGAGGCCCCTCTGTCGTTGTGGATGGCGCAGGGAGCTGGGCAGCACAGGGCAGCTGCAGTGGGGGCACCGCAGGGCCCAGCTTTGCCAGGGAGGGTAAAGGAGGTGAGGTGGGATGTGGCCCCCAGCCCTGGGTGCTGAGCTGGGGCTATGGGCTCCAGCTTGGTCCTGGGGCTGGTCTGGCACAGGAATGCTGCAGCAGTGCAGGGTGGGAGCCTTGCATGGCCCTGCAGCACTGTCTGCAGGTCCTGCACGGCCCAAAGCATTTGGTGCAAGTGCTGCATGGCCCTGCAGTGCTGTCTGCAGGTTCTGCATGGCCCTGCAGCATTTCATGCAAGTCATGCATGGCTCTGCAGCACTGCTCACAGGCCCTGCACTGCCCTGCAGCACTATCTGCAGGTCTTGCATGGCCCATCGTGCTGGCTGGAGGTGCTGCATGGTTCTGCAGCGCTGCATGCAGGTCCTGCACAGCCTTTCAGCATCACATGTGGGTGCTGCACAGCCCTTCAGCATCACATGCAAGTCTTGCACAGCCCTGCAGCATTGTGCTTGCAGGTGCTGCACGGCACTGCAGCACTGGTTGCAAGTCGTGTGTGGTCCTGCAGTGATGGGTGGTGGTCCTGCAAGCCCTGCATTGCTGGGTGGTGGTGCTACACGGCCCTGCAGGGCTGGGTGCTAGTGCTGCACAATGCTGCAGCACCATTTGCAAGTCCTGCATGGCCTTGCCGCACTGTCTGCAGGTTCTGCATGGCCCTGCAGTGCCAGGTGCGAATCCTGCACAGCTGTGCAGCACCACTGACAGTGCAGCGCCAATGGGGAGCATGGCACGTCCCTGCAGCAGGGCTCGGGGGTGCCTGCGGGCCCTGCTGTGCCGCACCACCCTGGTGCAGCCCTGCAGTGCTTCAATGGGACCCTCAGCCCTGCCGCACCTTTCATAGGCCAGGTCCCAGTCGGTGCTGTGGCACGGCATGCCGGCATGGTGCGGCATTGACGTGTCCCATGCGGCTCCGGCACCCGCCCCAGGCACCCGTGGTTGGGATGCCCAGGCCAGTTCCAGAGCCGGTGCCAACGGGAAGCAGGTTCCTGTGGTGGCCCAACTGGAACGGTGCCAGGGCAATGCCGGGCTCGGCTCGGTAGTGCCAGGGGCACGTTGGCGGCGGCAGCAGTGGGGACGCCGGGGAAAGAGTTGTTTTTAACGTACCCGACTCACATCTTTTTTTAAAAACAAACAGACAAATTTTGTTGCACAGCCCTTAGATGAAAAACGGTAAAAAACAGAGAAAATAAAAAGAAAAATAAGCCTAAATTCCTTAAGATCCGCCGAGGGAGTAGGGGACAAACACGGTGCTAAAACATTTTATTAAAAATATATATTGTTAAATTAAGTCTGCTGTCTGGACAATGACTGTTTTGTTTTCTTGTAGTGGAGTTTCAAAGAGCACTATTATTTTACTCTTATATATTATTATTAAAAAAAAAAAAGGAAAAAAAAACCGACAAAAACAAAAAGGCATTTTAACTTTGTACTTGAAAACTAAACAAGAGATTTCATGTGTTTTAGCCTAGACATTGAAGTAGCTGACGCTTAACTATTTGTGGGGAATCATGTACTCATACCGAGGGATAAACGCGTAGAGTTCGGTACCCTCCTCTTCCTCCTCCTCTCCTATGATTTGGCTCAGCCTGTGCCCCACCACCACATTCCCAGCCACCCCGGCTGCTCCCCCCCCCTCCAATCCCTATCCCAAACCTCCCCCTTTTCCTCCCCGTTTTATTTTGTGCTTTCCTCTCTCTCGGTTCGTCCCTTCTGTTTTTTGTTGGTTTGTTTTTTTAGGGTCGCTTCTCTATTTATTGCCGCTGAATACTGTGCATCTCACCGTACGGTTCTGGCCCGCGGGGCTGCCCGGCGCTCTGTCGTGTCTGTGTAAGTATTGCTCGTGACATAGCTGTTCTGAACTAATACAAGGTCAATGCGTGCAGCAGATGTAGGAAGTCTGTCCGTTCCGCTTCCATCCCATCCTCCTGATTTACTTTTTTTTTCTTTGGTGCCCAGAAGACTATAATACAGACGAGCTCCTTTCTAATGTACTTGTGCTGGAGAACACTTGAATAAATGTACTGTTTTTGTGCAAAAAAAAAAAAGAGAAAAAAAGAGGAAAAAAAAAATAGAGAAAAAAAAATCCTGTTGTCATGTGCTGTGTCCTCACAGATTTCCCGGTGGGTGTCTGGGGAGCACGGGATTCAGGGGGGGACCAGATGGGTGGTGGGGTCCCGGCAGTGGTAGGGTCCCAGCAGCCAATGGGCTTCCAGTGAGGTTCTGGCAGTTGGTGGGGTCCTAATGGGTGGTGGGATTCAGTCGACAGTGGGAGTGGGCAGTTGGGTCCCAGTGGATGATGGGGTCCCAATGAGTAGTGACATCCCAGCACATATGGTGGGGTCCAGATGATACTGGGGTCATGGTGGGTGGTAGGGTTCCAATGGGTGTGGGATCCAGGCAAACAGTAGGGTTCCCAGTGGGAACTGGGGTCATGATAGACAGTGGAGTCCTGGCAGATGTTGGGGTCCCAGCAGATGGTGGGGTCCTGGTGATAGTGCGGTGCTAGCAAGTGGTGGGACCATGGCAGGCAGTGGGATCCTGGTGATGGCAGGGTCCCAGCATGCAGTGGGGTCCCAGTGTGTAGTGGGATCCAAGGGATGGTGGGGTCTCAGTGAGCAGGGATTTCCTAGTGCTGATGGTGGGGTCCAAGTGGGTGGTGGAATCAAAGCAACAGTGGGGTCCCACTGGGAACTGAGGTCCTGGTGGACTGTGGGGTCCCAGCAGACAATGGGGTCTCAGTGATTGGTGGGGTCCCAATGTGTGTTGGGGTGCCAGTGGATGATGGAGTCCCAGTGGGGTTCCAGCCATTGGTGGGGTCGCAAGAATAGTGGGGTCCCAATGGACAGTGGGATTTTGGTTGGCAGTGGGGTACTACTGCAGGTGGTGGGGTCCCAGTTGGTGGTGGGACTCAGGCAACCCCAGTGGGAACTGGGGTCATGGTGGACAATGGGGTCCTGATAGGTGGTAGGGTCCTGGTGGACATTGGGGTCCTGGTAAGTGGTGGGATCCTGGTGATGGTGGGGACCTTGCAGGCAGCAGGGTCCCAGTGCAGGTAGTAGATCCCAGTGGGTGGTGGGGTCCTGGTGCACAGTGAGGTCACTGGGGAGGACACTGGGGGCTTTGCTCATGCAGAGCTGGGCTGTGGAGGTGCAGAGCCCAATGTAAGATGGGACACCATGTCTCTGGCCCATGAGGACACTGCGCCATGCTGCTCCTGCCTCAATTTCTCCTCCAGCTGAGCAGCACCGGGTGGGTGGGAAGACTCCTGGGGACACCACAGTGCCTGTGCTGGATCCCAAGGTGGTGGGGACCTGTGCGTGGCCCAGAGATAGAGCCCAGGAAGGGAGGGAGGGATGCTGGGACTGGGGAGAGCACCCACACCCCTGCAGCTGAGGGCTGCCAGGCACCAGGCTGGAGGTGGGCAGGTCAGAAATGGGTGAAACATGACTTGGGAGAGGGCTGAAGGAGGAAAACTGCCTGGAATGGGGAACAACCAGGCTGGGGCTCTCCTGAGACACCCTGACTGCCCAGGGGCTGCACCCAGTGGTGCCCAGGGGTTGCTGATGTCTTTGTGAGCCCGTCCCGGTCTTGTCTGGAAGGCAGGGGGCAGATTCCTGATTTCCACAACAGCGGGTACAAGTCATGGGGCCTTATGGACAAGGGGTGACTGAGGAAGTCCCCAGCCATGAACACAGCTTCATTGCCTTTGTGGTCAAGTAAAGTCAGCTGCCCATGTAAACCTCATGGAGTTCATTCAACAAGGCCAAGGGCAAGGTCTTGCAACTGGGTCAGGGCAATTCCAAGCACAAATACAGGCTGGAATTGAGAGCAGCCCTGAGGAGAAAAACCTGGGGATGCTGGTCCGTGAGAAGCTCAACATGACCCAGCAGTGTGTGCTTGAGCCCAGAAACCAACCGTGTCCTGGGCTGCATCACCAGCAGCGTGATCAGCAGGTCAAGGGAGGGGATTCTGCCCCTCTGCTCTGCTCTGGTGAGACCCCCCACAGCAGTCCTGCATCCAGGTCTGAGGCCCCCACATAAGAAGGATGTGAAGCTGTTGGAACATGTCCAGGCCATAGAGATGCTCTGAGGGCTGGAGCACCTCTGCTGTGGAGAAAGGCTGAGAGAGCTGGGCTTGTTCAGCCTGGAGAGAAGGCTCCAGGGAGACCTCAGAGCAGCTTCCAGTGCCTAAAGGGGCGGACAAGAAAGCTGAAGAGGGGCTTTTGACAAGGGCCTGTAGGGACAGGACAAGGGGGAATGGATTTAAACTGAGAAGAGTCTGAGATGAGATCTTAGGCAGAAGTTCTTCCCTGTGAGGGTGGTGAGGCCCTGGCACAGGTTGCCCAGAGAAGCTGTGGCTGCCCCATCCCTGGCAGTGTTCAAGGCCAGGCTGGACAGGGCTTGGAGCAGCCTGGTCTAGTGGAAGGTGTCCCTGCCTGTGGCAGGGGGTTGGAACTGGATGAACTTTAAGATCCCTTCCACCCCAAACCATTCTGTGAGTCTATGAAATGCCAAGTCCAGCCCTGGCAGCAATACCAGCTGGAAGCAGCTCCACTGGGAGGGACTGGGAGTTCGTGACAGACACAAGCTGAACTTGAGCCCCTAGTTCCCACCCAGTAACACCCAGAAGTACCCAGTACAGCTCAATGCCACAGATCCCATAGCTGTATGCAAGGGCTGGGTCAGGGACACCACACTGGATCCTCCTGCATCCCATATCCATATGCCAGCAGCCTGTGGCCACCACAGCAGGCTGTGCTGAGAGCTGCTGGGATGGACTGGGGGATACTTGGCTGTGCTGGGTGCTGCTGGGCACTGCTGGGCTGTATTAGACATTACTGGCTGTTACTGGCCATTGCTGGGTATTACTGGGTGTGACAGGGCTGTGCTGGGTGCTGATGGGTCTGCCAGGTGGTATGGGGCACTACTGGGCATTACTGGTCTTTACTGGGTGTTACCGGGTGTTACTTGTCTGCAGTAGGTGTTACTGGTCCGTACTGCGTGTTCCTGGGCGCTGCTGAGGTGTAGTAGGTGTTATGGGTTTGTACTTTGAGAAGCTCACGGGACTGTCAGAGCCGGCCATGGGGGAGCGGTGGGATACTGTGGGGTGTCAGGGGGTGACATCAGAGGGATGGTAGGTACCACGGGGGTGTCATGGGGGGAAATGGGTTTTTGGGAGGTGCAGGGGGGTGCTTGAGGATCCCGAGGGTCCCAGGGGTCACGGGGTGGCCGGGGGATCTTGGGGGGTCACGGGGGTCACGGGGTTACTCGGGGCCGTTCCCCCCCGCCGATGTGCGGGCTCCCGTCGCCACGGCAACCGCGCGGGCAGGTGGCGGGGTCCTGGGCGCCGGCCCCGCCCCGCCCCCCCGTCAGTCAGGCCTCGCGCAGCTCAACCTGCTGTGGGCATAAGCCCCGCCCCCACCGCGAAGCCCTGCGGCGATTGGTGGAGGCGGCGGGCAGGCCCCGCCCCCGCCGCGCAGGTTTGGCTGAGAGGCGATCGCGGCGCGGCGGGTGCAGCCGGAGCGGGAGAGCGGCGGGAGCGGGAGGTACCGGGGGCGCCGGGCGGGGTCGGGCGGTTCCCGCACTGGCGGGTCCCGTCTTGGTGCTGCCGTATCGCGACGGGTGGGGCAATCGCGACAGGTGCGTGTATCGCGACAGGCCCGTGGTGTCGCGACAGGAGAGGGGGGAGAGTGCCCATGTGGCGCCTCGCGGAGGACTGAGGGCAGACAGGCTGTGTGTGGCTCCCACCCGTGCATAGCTGGTCACCTGTCACGACAAGACGATGCTGTCGCGACAACGCAAAGGGTTCTCCTCGGCGGGGTGTGGCGATAGGGCCGCCCCGCCCGAGGGGGCCCGGCTTCTCGGTCGGCCTCGTGTCGCGACCGGGTGCGGAGCAGCAGGTGCATGGGGGGCGGAGGAGCCGGACCCGGGGAGCCGTGTCGCGGGCGGGGACCTCGCCGGGCCCGGGCCATTGTTCCGCGGGGGCTCCCGGGCGGCCCAGCCCCGCCCCGCCCGGAGCATCCTTTGTGCTGGGCGGCACCGGGCTTTGTCTGCTGGGCCGCCCCGGGGAGGCGGCCGGACTCAGCCCCCCCCTTCCCCGGTAACCGGGTAGCGGGCCCCACCGCCGCATCCCCGGGGCCGCCCCTCACCCCGGCGCCCCGTGCCTTTCGGTCCCCAGCACCCCGCACCGGGGACCCCCCACCAACCTCAGTCTGTACCCGGGGACCCCCCATACGGTCCTGGGCCGGACCCCCGGCTTGCAGCCCCCAAGGGCTCGGTGCCCGCCGCGCCGCCGGCCTGCCGCATTGACGGCTGCGACGCACCCACCCGGCACGCCCTGGGCTGCGACGGGGACCCCGCAACGGGGCCGGGGGATCCCGCCGGCCACCGGCACCCCTCTGCCGTGGCAGCCACCGGGTGTGGCCGTGCCATGTGCAGTGCCAAGGTGCCCGCGGGGACCGGGTCCGGCTGCTCACAGGCCCCAGCATCCTGGGCAGCCGGTGCTGGTGGAGCATCCCTGGCCCCCACCCGTTGGTTATGGACCCGCGACTCCCCACATCCTTCCCGGGGTGGTGGCTCGCTCACCCCACACCGGAGCTTGTCCCGACCACGGGGTGGTCGGTGAGACCTCAGCAGCAGGGCAGGGATCCCATGTGCAGTGCTCCAGCGGGCACCCAGCCTGGCCGTGGCCAAAACGGAGTCAGGGCTGGGCTAGGAGGGTCCTGGTGGCAGTGACCCCCTCAAGAGGCATCTCCGGGTGGGTGGGAATGCCAACCCACCCACCAAGGGCAGACAAGGGTGGTCGTGGTTTGGTGTCATCGGTGGTGCTGATGCTGCCTGGGAGACACAGTCACCGTGCCCAGCCCTGACAAAGGAGGGTGCGGGGGGGGGGGGGGTGTTGTTGTTGTCACCGGCACAGACAAAAGCAGGGGATGGTAGAGGGGCCATGTCCATGGCGGGTGCAGGAGCAGCCCCCAGCCTCGCCGCACAATGCAGCTCTCTGTATGCAGCCGCACCACAGCCCCACCATCCCGGCACAAAGGCCAAGCCCAGCAGCCGCCCAGGCCCAACAGGTGCCCCCTGGCAGCCCCCGTCAGGGCGGGGGTCTCTTTGTCCTGCCGGGGTCACAGCTGTCCCTGGCCAGCAGCCAGCAGGCGCTGGGGGGACTGCAAGCCCCACGAGATGGCCGTGCTGCTTTGTGTGCTGGGAAGAGCCACCGTGGCCCGCCGCCTCCTGGTGCTCACCCAAGGAGTGCTGAGCCGGGGGCTGCTGCAGTGGTGGGGTTGGCTGGGGGTCCCAGAGGATGCTGCACCACCCCAGTGCTGCTGCCGTATTTCCGCCCTGCCTGGGGAACCTGTTGTCTCACTGAAACCTCCTGCTTGCCACACCAGCCAGCAGCCTGGTGCTGGCTGTGCCACCGCACAGCAGCAGCTCACCAGGGCATGGGCGGGAGCCCCGGTGTTCCCAGGGCAGGCTGTGCTGCTCTGGCACAGCAGCAGGGCTGAGGGACAGAGCCCCTGAGGATGCTCAGAGTGAGCTCGGGGTACCTGTGCCAGACTGGCCATAGTAGGCATCTTGGGGAGCAGGGTATAGGACCAGTGTGCTGACTGGGGCAGTTGCTGGAAGTGCTAGAGGTGGGAGGCACAGGGGTATCTGGCTGTGTCCCTGAGGAGGGGTCAGGAAAGGAGCCTGTGAAGCATGGTGGGGGGATCACGGCAGTGGTGGCAATGGTGTGGGCAGCTCATGGCAGCCAAAGCCACAGGCAGCATGTTGAGCTGCCATCCCTCATCTGTGCATCATGTCCAGCCCACGCCAGGCTCACCCTTGCCTGTGTACCCACATCCAGTGCCTCACCCCATCACAGATCTGGCTGGCAGTGGGGATGTGTCTGGCAGTGTGAGGCCATGAGGCGGGCAAGGCAGTGCAGGACCCCAGCATGGGTCAGGTCCCTCCCTGGTCCATGCAGCACCAGGTGCAGTGGGTGCCCTGTCCCTCCATCCCACCCGTGTCAGGGGGCCTTGCCCATGCCTCAAAGTGAGAAATGCTACAGCACCAGGATCCAGAGCAGGCTGCCTCCCCACACCCTGCCATGCTCCAGATCCGTCTGTCACAGCAACCCGCTTTCATCTTGGGGTACGATGCGCCACCTCCCTCCTGCACCCCCATTCCTATGCTGTATCCCACTGTCCTGCCTGGCCCACCCCTGCCCTGAGGTCCCATGGAGGCTCATGGGGGCAGTGGACACCACCATGTCTCCCGTGGTCCCTCACAACACCAAGGTCAGTGACATCTTGCCACATCCTATGATTCAATGATCTGGGCTGCTGCTGGTGCAGTCTCGCAGGTCTCCAGCTGGGGCTGCCTCCTTGTCCCCCCCATCCCTGACAGTGCAGCCATTGGTGTGAGTGTCAGCAGCTTTCCCAGGTCCTAGGCAGAGCTGGGGGACAGGTACAGGGAGGGGTGCCAGTGCCCAGTGTGCTGTGCATAAAGTTGTTGCCATCCCACCTCCATTCCTATGGGACCTGTTTTCCTCTGCTCACCCTTATCAGCCAGCACAGCTGTGCAGGCAGCAGCATTCCTCATGGGGTGGGGGCCGCCTTTCCCAGGAGCATTCCCTGTGACAACGGGGCTGCCTGCAGGACCCTGTGCCAGAGTCAGAGCAGCAAGACAAGGCACAGGCTGGTACCAGGCTTGCCCCTAGCAAGGCTGGCACTGCTGCATGCAGCCCCAGGGCAGGAGCCATCCCAGGAAGGGCTCCCAGTACACAGCCCCAGTGTGGCTGCATCCCTGTGGTGGGCACAGCCACTTGGCTTCCCTGGGCAGCTGCTCCTACCCATGGTGCTGGGAATGCTCAGCTGCCAGGCAAAGCCCCGCTCAGCCTTGATGGCCGCTATGGCTCCCAGACAGTTCTGGGGAAGCTGTTTGCTGCCCAGCTGATGTTCTGCTGGTGGCTGGGAATCCCTGGCATGAGCTCAGGACAGTCAGAGCAGTTCCCTGGCCACAGCAGCTGTGTGGCCAGCCCCTCACCACAAGGGACCGTGCCCCATGGCTCAGCACTGGCCCCAGCATTGCAGCAAGGACAGCATGTGCCATGCCTGCGTGGGGACCTGGGGACCGCTCACACCAGGGCTGTGGCTGGCTGGGCAGTGCCATAGTGCCCGCATGCAGTCCTGGCCTTCGTCTGGAGGAGGAGAGAGCTGCACTGCCTGGCCCCCATGGGCACAGCCCTGCAGGCAGCACAGGGGTGTCCCAGGGATCCCTGCATAGGGGTCTAGGGGTCCCAGCCTACCTCGCAGTGGGAGGTGCTCCTGGGGTGCCCATGCAGCCAACACGTACTGTCCCTGCTCAGAGGGGTCGATTGTGTTTGACCTTCATCTACCACATGAATTATAGATTGTATCTGGGGTTGTCCCTCTCTGCCAGGGGCGCTCCAGCAAAGCTGGCACTGTGCAGGGCTGTGGCACAGAGGCACTGGCACCCTCCATGCCAGCACTGGCCACCCTACAGTGCCACCAGGACAAGGCAGGCAGCCTGCCCCAAGCATGCATTGTACCCCTGGAAGAAGCCCCAGCAGTGTCTCCTCTGCACGTGTGGCACCCACAGCAGGATGTGGCCCCCTCTTGCACCCTCCGCTGGGGTGTGGGTCCAGCAGCCTGGATGTGGGCGCTGGGACCATGGGCTGGGCAGTGCTGGCAGGTGCAGGTTCACATAGCCAGAGCAGGGGGACTCAGAGCACCCAGCGCCCCTCCTCTCCAGGGATTTCCTGGGATAATCCAGTGTTGACACAGCCCAGGGTGGGGATGGGCATGGCAGACACACAGTGGCGGGGCTGCCTGGAGCCCTGCCTGTCTGCACCAGGTCTCTGTGCTGAGAAGCACGACTTGAGTTCCTCCACACTAGCCTGGGATGTCCAGGGAGGGGTGGGCAGTGGGGATGAGACCCCCGTCACCCTGGCCCCAGGGGGCTGCACGGGACAGGAGCACCCAGCAGCCACCCCAAGGCTGATGTCTGTCTTCACAGCACCATGCTTGCCAACGCAGCCACCATGCGGATCCTCATCAAGGGAGGGAAGGTGGTGAACGATGACTGCACGCTGGAAGCAGATGTCTACATCGAGAACGGCATCATTCAGCAAGTGGGCCGCGAGCTTATGATCCCCGGCGGGGCCAAGGTCATTGATGCCACCGGCAAGCTTGTTATCCCTGGTGGCATCGACACCAGCACCCACTTCCACCAGACCTTCATGAATGCCACCTGTGTGGATGACTTCTACCATGGCACCAAGGTACTACCTGGCTGCAGCCTCCCCTGCAACCTCCGTGTATGTGCTACCTCACCCTAATTCCATGCTCACGGAGGGCTCCATGGCTCCTAGGGTGCCGCAGGGTGGTGGTGTGGAGCACCCAGGTTGCCCAGAGAGGCAGTGGATGTGCCATCCCTGGAGACATTCAAGGCCAGGCTGGATGGGTCTTTGAGCAACCTGATCTAGTTGAAGATGTCTCTAATCATTGCAAGGGGGTTGGACTAGATGAGCTTTGAAGGTCCTTTCCAACCCAAACTATTCCATGATTCTATGATTCTGTCCATGTCCAAGGGGGATGCTGGGCAGGCAAGAGCGTTTGGCAGCCAGGCCCCACCAGTGGGAACTGCATGGTTTGAGCAGGCTCTGCCCTGGCACTGTGGGCAGCATCGGCTCCCTGGCAGCCTGGCACAGTGTCCCCATGTCCCCATCCATCAGGTCCCCTTGCTGTGAGCATCCTCCTCCTTTGCTGGTCCCCAGATGGAGCCCTTCTGCTCTCTGCACACCACCAGCTGTGTACCCCTGAGCCGATGCTGCTGTCACAGGGCAGAGTGGAAGATGCACCAACAGCAGCAAGGCTGCCATGGGGCTGCTCTGCAGCGCCAGCCCAGCCTGGGACCCTGTGGTGCCATGCTCTGGGTGCCACTGCCAGGGGGTGTCAAGGGGCCTGAGCAGTGCCAGAGCCAGCTGTCTCCAGCACCCCACACAGAGCAGCCATTGTGCTGGGCCAGCGCTGGCTGTGCTTGGCCCTGCAGCAGAGGGGCTGGGGGGACAGTCACATGCTGCAGCACAGTGAGGAGCATGGAAATGTGTCAGAGGGAGGGCAGGGTCTGGTGCAGTGATCACAGACACCCAGTGCTATGCTGCTTCCCATCTCCGTCCCAGGAGGCTGCCTTACAGCACCACACCACCACCACTGGCTGCCCCAGCCTGTGAGGGCAATTGGTAAAGGAGCTTTGGGGATTAGCCAGGCTGGGTGAGCTGAGGACACCAGCGGGTGCGACCATGCCTCTCCTGCCACCCATGTCTGCCATGCCAAGGGGCTCTCCCTGCAGCCCAAATCCAGTAACTGGTGCTGTAGGAGGCAGTCGGTGACATGGTGGGTGGTAGGATTTTGGGTCTCCAGATGTGCCATGCACTCAAGATGTTCTGGTGCAACTGGGCAGCCACAGGCACGGTCAAGGTGCTGCAGTGGGGGTGTTGCGCACCAGCGTGGTGCAGGGGGATCCCTCTGGCAACAGAGCCTGGCCCAGGGGATTACCCTGCTCATGGCCAGGCAAGATTAGCACTGCCTGGTGGTGCGGGCAGCAGGGGCTAAATCCTGCCCCTTCAGCGCTGCTGTAACCTGCAGGCAGCCCTGGTAGGAGGGACAACGATGATCATTGGCCATGTCCTGCCCGACAAGGAGACCTCACTGCTGGACGCCTATGAGAAGTGCCGCAGCCTGGCCGACCCCAAGGTCTGCTGCGACTACGCCCTGCACATGGGCATCACTTGGTGGTCACCCAAGGTGAGTCCATTTACACCAGCAGAACGTGGCTTCAGCCCCCGGGAGCAGCTGCTGTGTCCAGGGCTAATTCCAGCCCCACTGATCCCATTAGCGGCTCGGTGGGGTGGTCTGAGCCCCCAGGCTGCCTTTTGAGCTGCCTTGATCCAGGCTCACTGGGGCAGGAGGTCCCCATGGGGCTGAGCCCAGATCTGCCATGTCTCCCCCTGCTGTGCTGCCTCTCCCGTCCCGGTGCAGGTGAAGGCAGAGATGGAGACACTGGTGCGGGAGAAGGGGGTGAACTCCTTCCAGATGTTCATGACCTACAAGGACCTGTACATGCTGCGGGACAGCGAGCTCTACCAGGTCTTCCGGGCCTGCCGCGATTTCGGCGCCATTGCCCGTGTCCATGCTGAGAATGGCGAGCTGGTGGCTGAGGTGAGCAGTGGGGACGAGGGGTGCCCAGCAATGATGGGCACCAGCCATGTGCTTGGGGCAGGCAGAGCCCCCAGTGTTACCTCCATCCTGACAATCCCCTCTGTTCCCCAGGGAGCAAAGGAGGCATTGGACTTGGGCATCACGGGGCCAGAGGGCATTGAGATCAGCCGGCCCGAAGAGGTGGGTGATTGCTGGTGTCCCCGAGTCACCGCACACATGTGGTTGGGGTGTTCTGAGCCACCTTCATGGCCACCATGTGCCTGTCTGTGCCATCCTGCACTCCTATGCACACCAATCCTTTCACCACCCATCAGTGTCACCAAGCCCGACGCTGCACCATGCCCCAGCCAGGGCATTTTGCCTTGCCATGTGTCTCACTGCCTGCTCTCTCCATAGCTGGAAGCCGAGGCCACGCACCGTGTCATCACCATTGCCAACAGGGTGAGTAGTCCCATGCTGGAGGTTGCACTGAGGTCCCCTCCATGAGCATGCTGGGTGTGTGGCACACAGCAGTGCTGGACTGCAATGGGCATCCCACCTCCTTGTGCGGTTGGAGCATCCCCCTTTGCTACAGCTGGCGGTGGATGCCCTGGTTCCATCGGGAGACCCCACTGTGTGCATGGGGAGCTCCCATGGAACTGGGGCACCACAGGGACAGTGACGCTGACACCCTCTCTGCAGACCCACTGCCCTGTTTACCTTGTGAACGTCTCCAGTATGTCCGCAGGGGATGTCATTGCTGCTGCCAAGATGCAAGGTAGATGGGCACGCCCAGGGTGAGATATGACCCTCCCCCAGGCTGGCAGTGGGGTGGGATGTGGGCATACAGGTAGTGTGTACATGCAAGTGTGAGCACTTGTGGTGTCACAGACATGGAGCACACGTAGGGATGCGGGCATACAGCAACAAGGACACATGGGCAAGGAGCACATGCACGGACACAGACATGCCCACAGACATGGGATACGTATGGGGTGAATGTGGGCACCAGGAAGGTCACAGGCAAGAAGGGATGTGGACGTGGGCACACGTAACATGCAAAGGCATGGATAAGCATGGCACGTATGGGTCTGTGAACACGCATGGGCACTTACACAGACAGGGACACAGGTGGGAACATACAGGCCCAGGAGCCCGTGGGTGCACGTGGGGACGTGCCCTTTGACATGTGTGCACGTGTGGGCCCACAGGAGCTCAGCTTGCAGACATGGGACACAGACATGAGCACACGTGTGCACACACACACGTGTATGTACACGCCTGTGCCCCACACATTATCCTCTGCCCCGACAGGGAAGGTGGTGTACGCGGAGACGACCACAGCACACGCCACGCTCACTGGGCTGCACTACTACCACCAGGACTGGTTCCATGCTGCTGCCTACGTCACCGTGCCGCCGCTGCGCTTGGACACCAACACCTCAGCCTACCTCATGAGCCTGCTCGCCAAGTGAGGCACCCTGGGTACACCCTCCCCACAGGCTGTGCTCCAGGGCACCTGTTGCTGTGCTTGCTGGTGCTCTCCAGGCATCCCTGATGTCTGCTCCCAGGTGCTGTGCCACCCAGCTGCCCCGTCACCCCAGCACCACGTGTTCTGGCACCCTGCTCTCCTGGTGCTGCACTCTCCAGCTGCTTCAGCCACTCCTCTCCTTGGGCTAACCCTCAGGCACTCCACATGTCCAGCACCCCACTTCTTGGGCACCCGGCTCTCTGGGTGCCTCACTTCCCAGACATGCCCTGAGCACCTGGGATGTTGGATGTCCCATTGCATGGGCACTCCAATTCCTGGGCACCCTGCTCCCTGGGTGCTGAGTTTGGCACCCAGGGAGTAGGTGCTAAGGTTTCCAGGCACCCCAGTGCATGGGTGCCACAATCCCTGGGCACACCACTCTCTGGGTGCACCACTCCCTGCATGCTGAGCTCCCCAGGCCCCCCACTGTATGGGTGTCCCACTCCCCAGGCACCCCAATACATGGGTGCTGAGCTCCATTGGCACCCCATAGCAGGGGTGCCCCCCTACTTAGGCATCTGGCTCCCCAGGCAATGAGATTCCTGAACAACCCCTGATGTTGGTGCCCCACTCCCTGTACATTGAGCTCCTCAGGCATCCTACTATGTGGGTGCTCCATTCCCTGGGTGCTGAGCTCCCTGGGCACTCCACCACCAGCTGACTATGGCCGAGCCACCCTGGTCAGGCCATCAGCAGCACTGCCCTGTCCTCCTGCAGTGACACTCTGAACATCGTGGCCTCTGACCACCGGCCCTTCAGCACCAAGCAGAAAGCCATGGGCAAAGAGGACTTCACCAAGATCCCCCACGGCGTCAGCGGCGTGCAGGACCGCATGAACATCATCTGGGAGCGAGGCGTGGTACGAGGGTCCCACTCCCCTCTGTGCCCACAGGCCCCCCTGAGATGGGGCTGCTCCCTGGCTCTTGGGGGGCTCAGTCTTGGGGCCAACTTGGGCTGAGCTGGCCCCTGCTTTGGGATGGAAGGTCCTTTTCCTTGATCCCCAAGATGACCCATGGGGTGTGTGACTTCTGGCATGGGGCCAGCAAGGTGCTCCCCAGTGCAATTCCATATGTCCCTGCAAGGGGCATGGCCCCAGCAGCACCTATGAGGTGTTTGGGGTGGGCAGCGGTGCAGGGCTGGGGCAGGATGCAGCCCTGCACATCCTCACCCTACTCTGGCACCAGGTTGGGGGCAAGATGGATGAGAACCGCTTCGTGGCCGTGACCAGCTCCAACGCTGCCAAGATCCACAACCTGTACCCCCGCAAAGGCCGGATCATCCCTGGGGCTGACGCCGATGTCGTCGTCTGGGACCCTGAGGCCACTAAGTAGGTGCAGCCAGCAGGGGGGCTGGGAAGTGGTCCTTTGCCACCAAGCACCCCCTCACCAACCTGTCCCCCCACCCAGAACCATCTCGGCCAGCACCCAGGTGCAGGGGGGGGACATCAACCTGTACGAGAATATGCGATGCCATGGGGTGCCCCTGGTCACCATCAGTCGTGGGCGCGTGGTTTACGAGAATGGTGTCTTCATGTGCGCCGAGGGTACTGGCAAGTTCTGCCCGCTCCGCTCCTTCCCGGACTCTGTCTACAAGAAGCTGGTGCAGCGGGAGAAGGTATGGGGGGCACGGTGAGGGCCGTGCAGGGCTGTGCCGCGGCATGGGGCAGGGCTGCTGGTGCTGGGAGGATGGGTCTCTGCTGCGCCACCACGGTGCCACACTGTGCTGTGGTTGGTACCAACCTGCAGCATGCCTCATGCAGGGGATGGGAGAGGGCAGCAGCAGCGGTGGGTCCTGAGGGTGGTGTGCAGTGGAGGACCCCACCAGCTCCTGCACTTCCCTGGGTCCTTGCCTGTGTGCTGGCTGCATAGAGGGTTTGGGGATGTTGTGCTATGGTGACCAGTGGTCATACCAACACATGTGCCAGGCATCGGGGCCCTCTGCAATGCTCTTGTGCCAGGCTCTCTTCCATTAGCTGGGTCACCCCTCTGCAGCCTCACGGTGGCCCCACATGCAGCGCGGCAGGGGCTGGGACAGGAGGGCCTCCAGGACATGCACCCTCTGGGCTGCAGGGCAGGTCTTGGCCACACTTGGAGACTGCAGAGGTTGCACTCTTCCTCTCCATCACATGGGGGGCTTGACTACTGCTGCCAGCCCCATCTGCTTCATTGGTCCCAGGGCTGCCCAGGGGTGACACCCAGGACCTCCAGCAGACCTTGGTGTTAGGGACCCCTCTGTGCCCCCCTCTGCACCCAGCTGCAGGGAATGCGCTGGGTGCTTGATGTGGTGCCAGTGCTGTGACAGAAGGGGACAACTGTGGTGTGCCAGAGCTCTCATGGGGAGACAATGGCCAGCACTGGTGGGACATGTCCTCAGACCCCATCCCTGGGGTGCCTGGCTGGAGCCATGTCTGGCCAGGGACAGCACTGGGGGACACCAGCACTTTGCTGCGGGGGGGGTTGGCTTAGGCATCACCATGGGGATGGGGGTGAGGGGCTGTGCCACCGGGGTCACCTGCCTCCCCCAGCTGCTGCCCTGGCACCTTCTGCACCGGGAGCCCCGCAGCCTGGTCACACCCCGTTCAGTGCCTCCCCACACCACAGCCCTCTCCCCACACCGTAGCATGCCCTGGACCCCTTTCTCCTCCCCACACCCGGCTGATCCGCACCCCGCCATAAGGCACGGGCACTCCTAACCCTGCTCATGCCATAGGGCACACCATGCTCTCCCCCCTTCCTAGCCACAGCCCCTCACCCAGCACAGTGTGGTGCCCACCAGGCTGACCCTCTCTCTCTGCTCTTTCTTTCCCTTCTGGCAGAGTTTAAAGCTGCGGGGTGTGGATCGCACCCCGTACCTGGGGGACGTGGCCGTGGTTGTGCATGCTGGGAAAAAAGAGACGGGGACGCCCCTGGCCGATACCCCCACAAGGCCCGCCACACGACACGGGGGCATGAGGGACCTCCACGAGTCCAGCTTCAGCCTCTCCGGTAAGAGGGTCCGGGCAGCCCCGGCTCCATGTCCAGCCCTGACCCAGGGCCTGCCCCCAGGGTGTCCTTCCCCTTTCCTGGGCCAGGAGCCATGCCATGCCCGCGCTCCCATGGCAGAGTAGGGAGCTGACCCCATCCCTGGACCCGTTCCTCCATGCACCGTCCATCTCGTGGCTGCACCAGTGGGGCTCCAGCTGGGCACGGGGTGCCAGGCAGCAGGGTTGAGGTGCTGTCCAAACACACATGGCGGGTATCCCATGCTATGTGCCAGGCTGGACCAAGCCTCATGGCGTGTGAGGGCAGGAGCAGGGCGGGCTGCACCCTGAACTGCAGTGCTTGGCTCCTGTGGTGGCTGTGCTGGGGCTGGCAGCCTCTGACCATGCTTCCTGCCAGCATCCCACTCAGTGCTCTTGGCACAGGGCAGGATGTCAGGGCCTTGTGGGTTGTCAGCATTGGTCCTGGTGCTGCAGGAGGCACTGGTGCTGCAGCACGTGGCACAGCCTAGGCAGGAGCAGGGCTGCAGGGGAGCCGGGGGATGCAGAGCACCCTTAGTCCCGTGGTGCTGGCATCCCTGACGCCTGTTCCTGCATCTGTCTGGCAGGTTCTCAGATCGATGACCACGTTCCAAAGCGAGCTTCGGCCCGGATTCTCGCTCCCCCCGGAGGCCGGTCGAGCGGCATTTGGTAGAGCCGAGGACCTGTCCCCCAACTGAGGACCAGGTGCCGGCCACAGACCCCCCGGCTCCGGCGGGGCTCCCCTCGCCCCGGGGGGCCGTGCCTGGCCCCCGTCCTGCCCGCAGGGCCGAGCTGTGCCGGCAGCCGTGTGCGGTGGGCTGGAGGCCGGGAGGCTGCAGCCCGGCCAGCGGGAGGGGACGGGGGCAGCGAGTGAGCCCCCCCGGCCCTTTTCTGTTTGCACGTTGGGTTTGGATCAGTGAATTTTTGACTTGTTTGTGCATCACGTGGAAATACTCTGAAGTGGTTTGTGTCACTAGCATTAGGGGAGAAGCAGGGACACCCCCACCCCCCCTCCAACCCCTGGGCTGACCCCCTCCATCCCCACACCCCTTCCAGCCCCACGCGTGAGCCTGCACAAGTGTGATACTGCAGCCCATGGGCACACAAATGCGCCCACCTGTGCATCCCTCCATGCAGAGGTGTTAGCACACTCCTCACAGCCATGTGTGTGTGTGTACACGTGTGTCACCCGTGTACGGACTGAGATGCTCACAGCACACATGCACATGTGTGTGCATTCCTCCATGTGAAGCACCAGCAGGCTCCTCACCACCTGTGTGTGTGCACACGTGTGTCATGCTATGCACGGTCTCAGACATACACATTGCTCTGTGTGTGTTCTCAGTGCCCTGTTCATTGCACACACATGTGATCTCCTTGGCAGGTGTCCACATGCACACACATCCCTCTTTGCTGGGAGCCATGTGGGATGTGAAATATTCCCCATGTCCTGTTACCCTCCTCGGTGGGTCCCTGTCGGGGGGGGGGGGGGGGCGGGCAGGCACAGGCAGTGTGGGGGTCCTGTTCCCCCCTAGGTAGTCAATATTGGCCGTTTTAGGAACCCGCGGTACGTCTCTGTTTGCTCATTAAAGACCGTTCACAGCACCTGGCCTCCGTGCCTGCCTGGGGGGTCCTGGTGGGGATATGGCACGTGATGAACCCCTATCTCCCTGCTTCCCAGTGCGCCTGCACCCTGACATCGCTGGGGTCCCGGACCATCTCCATGTTCTCCCTGGATGCCCACCCATCAGACCCCACCACTGTGGAAGAGGCCCCGGCCTGGGCCACATGGCAGCACTGGGTTCAACACGTGGCCACCAGACCTGGTACCCACCACTGCAGCAAGTGGTGCCCAGGAGAGTGCTGAGAGCATCCCTGGGATGTGGGACACAGGGAAGAGTGTGAGTGACACAGGGACACGGACAGGCAGACATGGCCATTCAGCCAACAATATCAACATCGCTGTGGGCAGCCATGTTAGTCACGCACCTCCACATCAGGAGGGTGAGGACACACACATGCACATCCACGCACATATATGTACACATGCTGCATGCTTGCACAAGTGCACAGAAAGGTGCAGGGGGGCTGCAGGGTAGGGATGGGGTGCAGGGGAGGGTTTGGAGGTCAGTGAGGTGGGGATGGGTTGCAGCCGGCGCTGGGTGTCTGGGGGGATGCCTGGAGTCTGGGGGGAGCTTTGGGGAGCTCTGGGGGTCCCCAAGCTACACGGGGGGGCAAATGTCCCAAAAGACTGTGGGGCTCCAGGAGGCCCCAGAGTAGGCAAGGAGGGATACCGGGAGTGTGCGGTGGGGTCCCGGCTCCGGGGGTGCTGCTGGAGATTCCAGAAGGTCTCAGGGGATTCCTGGTGTCCCGGCAGTGAGGAGGCCGCCGCCGCTCGCCCCCAGGGGGCGCTGTGCGAGAGGCAGAGCCGGGGCCAGTGTTGCCAGGGCGACGGGAGGGGGCGGGCCACTTCCCGTTGCCATGGGGACGGAAGGCGGAGCGCAGCAGGGCCGGCCCCGCCTGCAGGGAGGGAGGGAAGGGTTGAGGCGGCTGCGGTGGCGCATGCGCGGTTGGCCCGAGCGGTCCCGGCCCGGTCTCGGCGAGCCCGGCGCGGAGCGGAGGCGGCGGAGCGGCGGCCGGAGCGGCCGCTGCCCGAGCGCGGTGAGTGCGGGCGCGGAGGGACCGGGAGGGACCGGGTCGCTCCTCGCCGGGCCGCCGCCATCTCCCGCATCCCGGCACCGGCTAGCGCCGCCCCCCGGGGCCGGGCGGAGGGGCCGCTGAGGCCTCCATGGATGGAGCGGTAGGGAGGGGGTGTCCGTCCGGTGCCCCCGGGGATGGAGCGGCCTTGAACGGGGTGGGGGTAGCCGGGGATAGAGCGAATGGGTCCGGGGCTGGAGATGCGAGGCCGCGGCCCGGGGTCCGCCGTGCTGGTGGCGGCGGGGTCCGGCCTGACTCAGCGGCGGCCGCAGGGCCGTGGCCCCGGTACGGTACGGCACGGCACGGTATGGTATGGCACGCCGGGAGCTGTAGTCCCGGCGCGGGTGCCACCCCCCGTTACCGGGCATCACCTGGGAGAGCCCCGGGTCCCGCGGTGCCCCCGTTACAGGGTTTTGCCTGGTCAGGCAGGGCCGGTGCTGCCTGCCCGGTGCCATGGGCAGCAGGTGCCATTGCCGGTACCAGATGAGCAGGCAGAGCCGGTGCAGGACTGTCTCGGCCAGAGTGGTACGAGCTGACGGGTGGCTGTCACGTTGACCTGCCAAAGCGTGATGCGCTCTTGTCCCTTGTTCTTATGGCAGCACAGTGGTGGTGGCCTTGGCATGGTGGCTGTAGCCTCAGAGCCTTTGGCGGCAGGACAGCATCGCAAGCTTCAAATGGTGCCTTCTCTGGCACGTGTTGAGTGGGGTGATGATGCCCTTCCCAGTGCTCCCTGTGCTGTTTCTTGCCAATGAGCTTCATGCCATACAGGGAAGAGCAGGTCCCTGAAGCCATGGTGCAGAGACACAATCCCAACTCCCCAGTGCCACCCCGAGACACCCCACTGTGACTGTCACTGGGCTGGGGCATTGCATGCCACTGTGGAATGTCCCCACCATCACCCAGGTGTGGGGACATGGTGGGGGACAGCACACCCATGGCATGCCAGTGCATCTGGAGCACGTGGGGCATCTCCAGGGGCTGCCACGGCATAGGACTGCTGGCACGGGTGTCCCCTGCCCCATTGTGGGGTGCTGGCAAGTGGCTCTCCCTGGACCAGCTCCAACAACCCGCCTGGTTTGAACCATCAGGAGGCACTCGGCATTAATATTTCAGGGATGCTGCGCAGGATAAGGATGCCGGCGCAGGCGAAGGGGGAGCAGGCGCGGTGGGAGGCGCTGCTGGCAGCTCTGCGCTCTGCACATGCTCCTGCCACTGCTATTTTGAGTTATTTAGGTTAGCAAGAGAGGAGCGGGGGGGACCAGCGAGGCCAGGGCACCTTGCCTGTGTCCACCGTGTCCCCCTCAGCTGGGCACCGTGGCTGTGCTGAGCAGCACTGATGAGAGCCATGACCTCCCAGCATGAGAGCAGTTGCCTTCCCTCACTACAGGCTGCTGTAGACTTAAGGAACTGGGAAAGGCACTGGAGGATGGACTTGACAAGGAGCTGGGCACTGCCTGCACTCAGGCAAACCCATCTGCCACACACAGGCTCCAGCATGGCACAGGGATGCTCTCGTTGGGGTAGGGGGAAGCGGCACTGGGGGAGACTGTCTGCCATGATCAGAGAGCCGGGGCAAATGGACACCCGTGTCAGCACCCACAGAACCCTTCCCACTGCCTGCCAGCTGCCGGATCAGCTGGGCAGCCCCTCAGCGGCTCCATATGGCACACAGCCTCCACTGGGTTGTCTGCCACCCCCCTCCCGTATTTGTCACTTGAGGAGCCACCGGGACAGCTCCCAAAATAGAAGCTGCGAGTCACAGCAGCCCAGCTCGCCCCAGTACGGCGGTTGCTGCCAGGCTGGCTCCCAGGCAGCCAGTGCTAGCACCAAACGTGTCCGGCACAGCCACCGGCCTCATTCTCCTCCCGCTTTGTTTGGCCAGAGCACGCCAGCCCCCGGCCCGGCGAGGGCTGCGGCGTGGGACGCTGGTGCCTGCCGCCGCCTCCCTGGCAGCATAGGCACAAGGAGCTGGGCTGGACGACCTCTCTGCGCCCTGGCTGCACCAGCAGGACGGGGCAGCAACACACGCCCAAGTGTTTTGTTCGCCGTTGGGCCTTGATTAGGAGCTCTGCGGCCGGACAATTAAAATGCAGCGGTAAGCGTCCCCCCGGCCCCGTCAGTGTGGCTGCAGGCAGCATGGGGCGGGGGGGGCTGCTGTGCACGGCGACCTGAACCCCGCATCTCCCTGCACCGCTGCTGCCCGCAACCTGCCTTCACAGCAGCATCAAGGGCAGGCAGCAGGAGCTGTGCTGTGAGACTAGCCGCTCACTGCTCCCTGGTGACCCAGTGCCAGAACAGCTTCTCTCCCAACAGCTTGGCAGGAATCGGGTCTACATTCTTATCTTAGTTATTCGTTTATCCAAATGGTAGCAGTGGAGACAGGGTGCAAACCGGCCAGGCTGGAGGCTCCCTGCCTTAGGTGTGTCCATCACCTGGCGTCAGGGCTGGGCAGCAGGGCTGGCTCCTGCCCTGGCCCCAGGGCTGGAGCAAGTGTTGGCTTCCCTGTCATTATGCCCGGGTGTGCTCAGCACTGCGGTTGGAGGGCTTTGAAGGCCAATGTGTCGTTTCAGAGGGTGGAAATGAGCTGGGTGGCTCCACGCACCTCAGCAAGTGTCAATGCCAGCTGCGTGGGGATGGACAGGCAGCGCTGTGTGCCAGAGCAGGATCAGAGTTCTCCCTGCCGGGCTCGCACATGTGGTGGCGTGTGCAGGAGTCGGGGTGCGGCTGGTGGCGGCATGCCGGGGAGCACCCGGCACTGTGATGCCTGGATTCATCCTGCTGTGAAATCCGCCCCTGCGGCTGCCGGCACGGGCCTTGGCTTGTTGTGGCAAAGGGAAATCTGTGTGTTCTCTGAGGTGCCAGTGATGGGAAGAGTGGTAGGAATGCTGGGGGGAGAGGGGTGAACAACCCCTCAGCCCCTGGGTTCAGTACTGGGGCAAGGTCATGAAGAAGGTGCTGGGCTCAGCCCTCACTTGGGAAGGTTCTGATGAGGCTGGAGGGCTGGTTTGAGGGGTTAACTCATCCCAGCACAGGTGGTGGGTGCTGGGTGAGGGGTGCTGTCAAGTGTGGTGGCTTCCTGTGCCAGGACGGCTCCTGCTGGGGTTATTTGCCTGAGCCACAGTGAGCCCCAGTGTGTTTCCATATCCCCTCTGCTTCTCAAGGGTCTGCTTCTCAAGGTGCACCAGCTACCCCTGTGTCCCCATGCTGTCCCCAGACCAGGCTCTTCTGGAGCTGGCAGGCGTGGAGCAAGGCTGCCCACCCGGGCTGGGTGCTCTGGGGCATGGCCGCAGCACACAACATGTGCCCCATCCATGTTGTATGTCCCACAGCCAAGTGCTGGGGGAGGCAGGAGTGTCACGGGCTGCCGTGTGGGGTGTGGGCACTGTGAATCCCCCCAGGTCAAGCAGGCAAGACCTGGCCCTGTGGCTCATGGTGGTGGCCAGCTCCGGCATCAGCCCTGCTCTGCCTCTGCTGTGCGCACAGGGCGCTGGCAGCTGCTCCCGGCTATTTCGGGAAAGGGTGGTGGTGTGGGGGTGTCATCCAGCCACTGGCTCCTCCCCGGGGTGCGCACGGAGCCCCCCACCTGCCGACCCCCTCCCTGCGCCAGCAGTGGCAAACGCCGCTGCTCTCCTGGCTGCGCCGTGGCGGCCGCACCGCAGTGCGTGTGGCTCTGGCTCCGCGCTGCGCATGACTCAGCTCG